CATGACAAAGAGATCGCAGCGCAGGCCCTCGGGCAGGCCCTTGGGTATGAGCATATGATTTGGCCAGCCGCAGCCGCAGAAGTTGAACTCGAGCTCCTCGGCGCTGCCGGCGGCCGGGCGATTCGTCTCCAGATTGCGGAAGGTGCGCTCAAAAGGTATGGTCACACTGGACTCGGTGGAGCGACGGCGTATGGTATTCGGGCCGGGATTCAGCGAGACCACAAACTTATCGAGCTCGACCATCATCAGGCGCTGCTCGCGCATCAACATGGGCTGGCCGCGCTCGTCATTCTTGGGCGCCAAGAAGATGCGCACATAGCCGAAGCGCTGGGCGCCTCCATCGTTGTTCACATTGATCGTGTAGGTGAAGGGCAAGTGGGTCAGATGGGTGAAGCGGGCGAAGACATTGCCGCGTGGCGTAAAGTCGAAGCCGCGCGACAAGTCCATGTCCGACTGCTGCCAGAAGGTGGTCAGCACATTTGGCTGGCTGCCATTGGCGGCCACCTGGACGCCCGTTATGGAGATGCCCGTATAGTTGAGCTGGGTGTCCGTGTAGGCGGGCAGACGGGTCTTGTGCTCCTGGAAGATGCGATCGACGTACGCGTGCCATCTGTAAAAGACCGGATCGCGCATCGCCGTCGAGGAGTCGCCCATCACGCCAAACGATTCCAAGTGCTTGTTGTTTGTGTCGTGCGAGTACGAGATGAAAACGTGCCCGAAGTTGTGCAGATCACCATACTGAAATTACAGGGTATACATTGAATTAAAACCTGGCCATGAATACGTGCTGCCTCGTCCGCTCACCAGGGTGCGATTGGGCGACAGAATGGAGGACTCCACAATATTGCCCAGTATATCAATGCCGCGTGCCTCGTCCAAGTCCATGCGTTGGCCACGCTCCTGTGAATAGGAAATAATTAAAAGACCATCAAAAGGAATTGCCTCGCTGGCTACTCACGTCCAGGACAAAGCCCTGGTGGATGGCCTCGAAGATGCGATCGCGCCAGCGCTCCAAGTCGCCCAGCTCCACATTGATCTGATCCTGTTCGCGATTCAGATCGCCCAGACGCGTGTTATCGAAGCGCGGCGGCCACGCCCGACTGGCCACCAGTGAGTCCATCTTGGGGAAATAGCCCTCGGCAATGGGCTCGCGCAGATTGTTGAAGGGCAGGACGCGGGCCAGATTGTTGCTGAACCGTTCCATGTTATAACGAGCCAGGACCTGCTCGTGCATGTAGTAGAAGAGCTCGCCGCGGCGATCCTTGTCCACAATGCTGCGGTCGGAGGCCTCGAAGGGATACACCAAATGCCAATGCCAATGATGCAGATTAATGCCCAGATCCTCACGGAAATACCACAGACGATGCTCCGGCTCCAGATCGGATGCGGTATAGTCTCGTGGTATGACAATGGGCATGCGAGAGCCCGGCTGCACCACAAACGATTCTTCGCGCAGCTCGCGGAAGACCTGCGAGTCGACAAAGCGATCGGGGAAGGTCTGTGCGAACGAGGGCAGATCCAGGCTCTGGGTATCGGGACGATGCAGCAGCGCCACGGACAGCGCATAGTTGAACATGACCGGATTGACACGATCGCGGGCATAGACCGCCACGCTCTGCAGATCGTCCACGCTGCGCATGTTCACAAATATGTCGATGAGGCGGCCGGCGATGCGTCGATGCTTGGGTATGAACAGCGAGAACTGCTCGTCGCGGCCCAGTGACATCGGAATGCGCAGATCGGGTATGGAGATTTCACGGACCGGGACGCGCTGCTCGACCTTCTCGCCGACACGGCTCTGCACCTCGTTGCTGATGGGCCGATAGCGATCGGTCAGATAGTTGTCCGGCACATCGAACACGGTCACCGTCTTGCCCTTGTCCATGAAGACGGGCTCCGTCGGGTGCTCGAACAGCAGCAGCAGATTCTTCTTGTCGGCCATCTCAGCGAGAACTTAACAACAGTCGTAAAAAAACTGAGCAACTGAATAAATGGAACTGGACAAGTGAATAAATGGAACTGGGCACTTGTAGCACTTGTTGCAGTTGCTGGCGAACTGTGACTTCTCTAGGCTCCGGCTACGCCTTTTATAGGCCAATGCTATCAATGCTATCCAAAATATAGAAAACCACAAGCTAAGCTCAACTTTTGCTGGGAACGGACACATTTTGTGGTGCCCAAAAAAATATGCGCTGTGATAGTGGCTGATAAGGAAGAGTAGAAACCGCAAATGTTATTTTTTCATTTCATTTCTTTTTTTTTTTATAATTGCATATTTCTAAAATACATTCTTTATTTGTTTACACATTTATAGTATATACTAATTTGAGTGAAATTTGATTATTCTTTGTATGTATATAAATTATATATGTACTATATTTTGTCAATATATATATTTATGTGTGTGTGTGTGTGTGTTTATATAGTATCTGCAACAAATTCTACGCTCTACGCTCTGCGCTCTCGTTAATACATCAATTAATTTAACTACATGCACAATTTTATGATATACATATATATAAACATATATAAATATAAATATATATAGTTATATTTTTAAGATCAACAACTTGCTTAAATAATATACGCCAGATAAAGGTAACGTTTCCCTAGAATTGCCAAGAATATCAATTGATCAGCTGCGATTTACACTTCCTCTCGATCTCTGCGTTCTGCTCTATTCTCATTCTTTCTCATTTTTGCGATTCCAAATTCTCTGTCTCAACTCTCTTACGTTTTAGCTTTTCCTCTCCATTCTCTCCTCTCTCCCTCTCTCTTTACCTCTGTCCAATTTCATTTTCTCTCTTTATTTTTCTGTCTCCCTCTTTTGCACACACTTCCCTTCTTTTTGCACTGCCACCCACTTTTATACTCTCTCTCTCTCTCTCTCTCTCTCTCATTGTCCATCCCTCTCTTCCATACTATCTCTTTTTTTCACTGCTTCCCTCCTTCCCTGAGCGTCTCCTCTCTCTTCCATACACGTCTTCTCTCTTTTTGAATTAATTTCTCTCTCTCTCTCTCTTTTCCACACAATTTCTCTCTCTTTCCTGCTGACTCTTTCCCCACACCTTGAACCCATCATTTTCTCACGCATTCTCAAACCTTTCCACCTCTCTCTGCGTCTCATCCATTTAAAGTTCCATAATTTGTATCTAATAGTAAGATATTTAAAGAGGTGAATCTTTTATATATTTATATATATAATATATCTTTTTTAATAACTGAATAGACAGCTCTCTATAAAGTGTATATACAAGTGTTGTTCAGTTTTCTCGTGTGTTGTTCCTGTTGTTGTTCTTGTTGTTGTTGTTGTGTAAAAGCGTGTAAGTTCTTGTAAAAAGTATCTTAGAAAAGCCCTTGAATATATATGTCCTGTGTGCTCCATTGTTTTGGCCATTGTTTTCTATTCGCATTGCATGATATGTTGTGTTGTATTTAAGCTCTTAGGATAGAGTTGTTTGGGTTTTTGTCTTTGGTTCTTAGATCGAACGCAAAACGGAGTAGTTCGACACTTGGTTCCCATAGACCAGTAAGAAGAAGAGTGAGTGAGCATTGGTAGTGTGTAAATATTGCCATGTTAAATATGTGGTAAAAAAGATCTATTTAATCATATCAAAAATTACAATATACAAATATGTATTTACATAATATATATATATATACGCTTTATATCGTGCAGTTTGTCAACTCAAAATGAATACGTACAAAAATAGACCAGTGTGTACATACATAATAATTATACCACAATACGCAAAATAGAATCAGTGCCATTTTATACGAAAACAACTTAAAACTGTTGTTGTTCCACATTAAAAATATTAAAAGAAATAGTTCATTTAGTTCTATGTCAAATACAAAATATAAAATGTTTCATGTCTCTTGTGTTTGTTGTTTGTGTATTTCAAAAGTTGTTAAAGCTTAGTCACATTTCGGAGCTGAAGCAATTCTCTAGAGTTGTATACATATATATAAAACGTTTAAATATGATTTGATTCGATTCGATAAGTTTCTCTATATGCCATATATAATAGATAGTTACAAATAGGTTTTATTTATCTTTATATTTTAATTTCTTGTCACTTTTTGATTATTTGCAACTTGATCTGGCTTCTGCTTTGTATGCATGTTTTGTGTGTATATTGGTGCCCAAATATATTCAGACTACGCTAATGCTACTTTGTAATTACAATAACCAACTATTCGACGAAAAAATTGCATGCATTACACCGACCACGTCTAAGGAACTTGCACTACAATTTGTTATTTTTTTTTGTATAATATATTTACCCCCCTTCCATAAAACCATAAGAAGAAAAAACTGCACACAAAACTCTGCTAATCGAAATCATATTATATGTAAATAGAGTTTGATTATTTTGCTGGGTGCACATACATTTTGGGAAATATATGTATGCTATAACAACTTGCTGTTTTGTACTGAGATTCAGGTTTTTCTATTCTCAAATCCTTCGTATCACTTGCCTCACAGTTAGCTAACAATACACACACACACGTATACACACACACGGATACCTACAACACAGTTTCGAGATACTTTGAACATCAGAGACTCAGGTACAAGTATTCGTTTTGCCCCTAAACCAAAAATGGTGCAGCTACAACAAATAAATAAGTAAATTATCATAATAAAAGCAAAAGTAAATACAAGTAAGCGCAACTAAGTTCGGCTGGCCGAAGCTCTTAATACCCTTGCAGATATATATTTTTGAAATTTTTGAAACAATCCGAACTAAAAACCAAATATAATTTAGTAAACTTTATAAACTTAGTTTATCGATCAATAGTTTCTGTGTGAATAATGATATAATTCCATGGAAGCTTTATGATATCAAATTTATATGATATATCTTCTATATCCTATCATATGATAATATCATCAAGTAATTATTATTAAATTCTGACAGCTACGGGGAGAACGAAGTGAAGCTTACATTTGCTCAAATGAAAACCATATTCTCATATAATAAATAATATATTAATTAAAGGGAATATAGTGTGAAGCATGATAAAACAAAGTCTTGGTTGAGTTTTGTATAGATATATAAATATATATACTTATAAAAAAAAGTTTATCAAGAATAATCAACATTTGGCCGCGCACAAACAGACGGACAGACTTAGAATGGACTTTATGAATATGAACGAATATAAATGAATATAAATGCCTTACGTACTCTGCCATAAAATCACATTAATACAAATCTGCAAGAGTACAAAAGCTAAGCCCAGTAAAAGAAATAAATGAATAAATAAAATGTAAACCCCAGCCGCAATCCGCAATCTGCAAACCGTAATCTGCAATCTAGAATCCACAACCCGTAAAACCCACATCAATGCAAATGTATTGCCAATGCTTATGACTTAACTAATGACTTTTGGCTTAGCTGCTGCTGCCTCTTCCTGCTGTTGCCGTTGCCGGACTCAATTGAGCACCACCTGTGCGGTGGTGGTGGCATTCTGGAACTCCTGCCGGCAATAGCCCATCACAATATCCGAACGGCAATCGTCGCCCATTAGACCTGGCAGGAGGACCGCAGCGCCCAGTATGGTAACCACCGCGCCAAATACAACCAGGCCCAGGGCGGGCAGCTTCTCCCGGCTGAAGAGGGCATGCGGTTCCATTTGTATGTAGGCCAGGCCGGGCAGTATATAGGCCAGGGGTATGGCTGCCAGCAGACCCTAAGTTGTTCAGAAAATTTACATGAAATTACAATGCTCCAGCCAGTTGTTATTTGTTATGGCCGACTGTGTGTGTGTGTGTGTGTGTGTGTGTGTGTGTATGTGTGTACAAATCGGTATCAAAATCAACCCACATTCAATTCCAAGACGGAGCCCAGGCAGTCGGTCATGGGCGATATTATGAAGGCGCTGAACACAATGGCCAAGGTAATCGCTTTCGAATACTCATCGATTTCGGCGCCCTTCTCCAAGCTGGGATCCTTGTCCTGGGTAAACTCGCTGATGGGCTCCTTCAGCACAAACCGATGCACCAGAGCGCGCACAATCTACAACAACAGCAACAATGTTGCAGCGAAAATGAGAAAGAAAGCAAACACAAACTAGTTTATCAAAATGCAACTGTGTGTGGCACGAACCAAAATGTAAGCTATGTGTGGCAGCAGCTTCGCCAAAATGACTGCAATTGGACAGCAGCAGCAGCTGGTCAAAATAAAGTGCCAAGCATTAAACAAACTAAGTATCTCAAGGATACAAATGTTCTGTAAATCTGCAGATGTCTTATGTGAAATGCATTAAGATATGTTTAAGTTCTTATTACAGAAATTCAATTCATTTATATTTTCATTTAATTTTCAATTTAATCAAAAACAAACTAACAATTGGCCTAATATATTTTTTTTATCTATTATTGCAGAAAACAAGCTTGGACTTTAATAGCTACAAATTACCTCACAAACTTCAAGTTGAGCTGCCATTGTAAAGGGTATTATTATGGAGGACTGCCCAACTTACCTCACGTGAAACGAAGCACTCGATGGGAAATGTCAGCAATATGGATATGGAGAAGAGCACACGCGAGAAATTCATTAAGTCATCATCCCAGCAATAGTTCTCCAGCAAATCGCCTGCAATGAAATTGGGCACAAAACCAAAGTAAAAGAATGCGCTACAGATTAAAGCTGATTTACAGCGTTGTAAAATAAAATGGTAGAAGTAACCGGGGCAAATGCCATTAAATGCGAGCGAAATTGTCAATTAGTTTACCCTGTGAGAGGGCGCGGAATGTTGAGTAGCCCGCAATGCCGAAGAGCGCCGCCACAGTCCAGGCAAATCCAATCGAGATGTGGGTGACCTTCTCCCAGCGTTCCATGGTCGCCTCGCGCATCGATTGATAAACGAGAAACGTGTTGTGATGACACATGAAAGCTGTGCGAAGTGCAGAACGAGACGGCGAGAACAAAGTGAGAGAGAGAGAGAGAGGGAGAGAGAGTGAGTGAGCATTAGAATTGACATTGAGCGGCAAATGCAATTAAATTGTTTTTATTTCTTTCTTTCTTTTGTCTAGCTGTCTGGCAACGCTGTGCGCCGCGCTTAGCCGCAATCATCTAGCTGTTATCCTTGCAGAAGTGCCTGCTGTTGCATAAGTAAACACACACATATATATATACATTAATGCGGCTCCCGCTCAGCTACTTACCAAACACCATAATGCCCGTGGCGGGTATTAGATCCGAGTTCGCGAAGCGCCAAGAGTCGGCCGTATCCGTGCTACGGGCAGCAACAGGCAAAAAGGATACATATTTACGTGGGAAGCAACAAAAAAAAAACAAAGTATAAATAAATTACACAAAGTTAACACCAAATTAACATTTCCCTTTTCTTTTACGTTTTCAGAAATGTAAAATATGGCCACAAAAAAGCAATGGACTAAGTTGAGGTTTATATGTTTCTCGAGCGTTATGTGGCACAGATAAAAGGGGCTGCGGACAGCCAACAATGTGAGACGTGGCACAAAAGTACACAAATTGGAAATTTATTTAAATTTTATGCCCCGCTACAACAAGTAGGAATCGCCGCACAAAGCTCGAGCACCCGTTGACCATGAAATACGCAGCAGAAGCAGCAGCAGCAGCAGGAGCAGAGGGAGCGGGTGTTTGGCTGGCAGCTCGAGTCAAGCGCGGGGACGACGTCGTCGCCGTTGGCAACACTGTGGCAACTGCTAACGAGTCGCCCTCGCAGTCAGCCACAAACAGAGATAGGAAGCGGCACAGATAGCGCGAGTGAGACGGCGTCTGCTGCGTGCAACAGCCACTGCGGCAAACTAATGAAAAGCCATAAAAGCCAAACAAGTGGCACACTACATTTTATGGCACTGCGCGCAGTTCAATGCCGCCGGGGTCGGTGCAAGTCGCCGCAGATTCGAAGGCACTAAAGCGCCACTTAGCACTAAAGCGGGCTGGACTCAACCTCTCAAAAAAAAAGCCGAAGAAAAAATAAGTGATGAAGCAGTAGATGTGGCATGTGGACAACAACCACAGCACTTAGCCGCCCGCCAAGGACTCTGCTCATAAATTTGCTGCCCCACGCCAGCGCCAACAAATCGTAATTAAAATGCAAATAAATCTGTGCGCGTTATTAGACAGCGTCGACAATTAAGAAAGATACATTTTTTGATAATTTTTACAAATTACCTGAAAAGGAAAGAAGGCAAACACCTTCTCTCTGCACCAGCCGAAGGAATTATATTTTACCTATATTCATTTCATTTTTATAATTCATTTACAGATTGGCGAACAACACGTAATGAAAAAAGCTCGCTCGCTGATGACTCGCATTCAGGAACGCCCTGGGCCTTCTGATTCTAACTTAAATTCGTTATTGCTTGTTTAAAAAAATAAATATCAACTGTAAATTTTAAATTCGTACGGATCCCCACGAAAAAACAAAATCAAATTGATGCCAATTGATTCTCTGGACCTCCACAATAACAAAATTGCCAATCTCTTCAAAATCGGGCTTAATTTGGCCGAGATGACCGAGATATGGCCATTTAAAGTTTTTGAACAAATTAATTTTTGCGGTTCTTTGCATTTTCCATACAGATTTGGCGAGGAAACGATCAAAACAGGTGGTTCCCAGATGACCCACATATCCTTGGTTATACCATACCATTGATATAGTCCTGGTGAACCTAAAGGACCGAATCCCTGCAAAATGCGCACGGAAACGGTCCACAAACATGTATGCTTTTTATTTCAGCCACCCCTCCTCCCTCTGGGGTTCTTAGATGACCCATATATCCTTGGTCTTACCATACCATTGATAGAGTCCTGGGGAACCTATAGTCCCAAATCCCTACAAAATTCGCTTTATAACTTTATCCACAATTAAATTAAGATTTAAAAATGAACGGTCGCAAAATGCTATTGCGCTAGACCCGGCCGTTGGCTCACATTTTTCGAATAAAAATTCAGCTGAAATACCAGGCGAACAGAAATGCCCAGCAGGTAGATGCACAGAAATTTTTTTGCAAAAATGATGACTTGCAATTTTCTTAACAGTTAACTGTTAAGCAGCTGTTATTTAACAGTTTACTGTTAATACACTGTTAGTTAACATACCACTGTTAACATCCCCTGGTAAATGGGGGCGTCCGGCTTGAACGGAAATTTGGTAAAAATACCAGGCGAACAGAAATGCCCAGCAGGTAGATGCACAGCAATTTTTTTTGCAAAAATGATGACTTGCAATTTTCTTAACAGTTAACTGTTAAGCAGCTCTTATTTAACAGTTTACTATTAAGACACTGTTAGTTAACATACCACTGTTAACATCCCCTGGTAAATGGGGGCGTCCGGCTTGAACGGAAATTTGCAAAAATTCCAGGCGAACAGAAATGACCAGCAGGTAGACGAACTAAAATTTTTTTTTAAATAAAAATTTCATTGCATACCCGCAGGCTGGAAATATATTCTTAACAGTCATCTGTTAAATCAAAGATCGCAAATTTTAATGGCATACTTTTACTGCCGCTTTTAGCAGCAGCCACAAAATTTCTGTAAACGGCCGGGCATTTTGTGACCGTTAATTTTTAAATCTTAATTTAATTGTGTATAAAGATATAAAGCGAATTTTGTTGGGATTTGGAACTATAGGTTCCCCAGGACTCTATCGATGGTATGAAAAGACCAAGGATATAGGGGTCATCTAAGAACCACAGAGGGAGGAGGGGTGGCTGAAATAAAAAGCATACATGTTTGTGGACCATTTCCGAGCGAATTTCACAGGGATTTGGTCCTTTGGGTTCACCAGGACTATATCTTTGGTATGGTATAACCAAGGATATTGAGTCAACTAGAAATCAAAGAATGGGAAGGGGTTACTACTGGAGTCGACTGAATATTCTAGGCCATGCGCATGTTTCTAGTATTCGGTTATTTAGGTTTACCTGGACTATATCTATGATATAGTTTAATCAAAGATAAATGGGTCATCTAGGAACCATCGCTTTTCATAACATTTTCGCCCGTAAGCTATTTACCAAACTAACACACAAAACATTAAAAATATTACATTTTCAAAATACTTAAGATGAGTATAAATCGGGCTCACGATGAATATCCATCGACAAGCTGATGTGCCTGATACATACGAAACTCAGGACTAATACATAGGGATAATAAGATATGTTTTCTGTTGGCTAAAATCAGATCAGAGTATGTTAATCTATAGAACAAACCATGAACTCTTAAAAGGGTAATAAGAGGAATTTGCTACTCAAAAAACTGAACTTAAACAATTCTATAACAGCCTCAGGCAATCAAATTTGTAGCCGTTTACTGTCACAAATTAAATATCCTCTAGCCAAACGCCAAACTTTTGCGCTGACTGTGATATCTTATGCATAGATATATTTATATACTCACACTTTATAGTCGCCGGAAATAAGCTTTATGATGACGGCAAACAATATGAAGACCACGCAAGCCAGACTAATGAAACTGGCGCGCGCCAGACGGGAGACGTTCTTATAGAGGCACAAAGGGACGACAACGCCGACTGTGACAAAAAAGACGACGCCCAATCGAACCGCGCCCATGGAATCGCCCCACGAGGGAAAGAAGCGTACCAGAACTTTAGACAAGGTATCGCCCACGACAACATTGTACGATATCATGGCTGTAAAATGGCAAAACTTTGTTAGTTACGTGTGCGGCGGGGATGGGGCTGGGGCTGGGAATGGAGGTGGGGATGTGTGTGCTTGCGTTGCCAAAAATTGTGGGCACACATTGATGGGATTTGGCGATTGGCGGCAACTTACCCAGAAAGGGATACATGAATTGCAGCAGCGATAGCAAATAGTAGCCGTATTTGCCATAGGCAGCCTCCATGATGCCCGGGTAGCTGAATCTGCCGCAGATGTGACCGCATCGAACCTGCAATAATAAATCGCACTTATTAGCTATCTACCTGACTCTCTTCCCCTCTCTTCTCCTCTGGCTTTTGTAAATTATGCAAATTTCTGGTCTTTTTCGTAGCGGAAATGCGTTTAATTTGCAGCACGCTGTTAACGAGACACGCATCTAATTTCCGTTTCCGCTTCCGATTCGAGCAAACCATTTGCCATTTCTCACGCCAGACCTTCGATGTCCCGGCCAGCTACTCACCATCAAAATGAGCGAATAGTCGGTTATGTAGGCGACCAGGATGAGCAGCGCCAGGCCCAGACCGAAGCCGGCGCGGTGCAGGGCATAGGGTATGCCAATGACGCCGCTGCCCACGATGGAGTTGATATAGTTGAACGATGCTTGTGGTAATGAGGACAACGTGTCGCCCGATAGCCCATCCCCTCGTTGTTGTTGTTGTTGTTGTTGCTGTTGTTGCGAGGATTGAAGCTGGCGTTGCTGCTGCTGCTGCTGTTGTTGTTGTTGCTGTTGCTGTTGCTGGCCCTGTTGCTGATGTGTCTGATGGTCGCTCTAGAGACAACGTTAAGCAAAAACAAAAGTCGTTCTATAATAGTGGGTTGGGGTCGTGTGTGTGTGTCTGAGTGTGTGTGTGTGTGTCCGCTGCGGTTCGTTTTGGCCCGCTCTATTATTGCACGTTGATTGGGATAAGAGCGCAAAATTGCTTCGAGTGCCTCTTTACATCAAAAGCAAACTGTCCTCCTGACACACGCACGCACACACAAACACGCACACACAAATACACAGACAGTTAACTCTGCGTATACGCAATTTGCAGGTGAGTTACGTATACGCAACCTTATCGTAAATTGTGGCTGCCAGCGCCAGTTACCGTGTGACGGTGTGTGTCAAAATGTTTGTGCATTCTTTCTATACCCTTACAGAGGGTATTATACATTTGCTTATCAAATGTGTAAAGCTTAGAATATGTTTATATATATTCTTGATCAGCGTAAACAGCGGAGGCGTTACGTCTACTTCTTTCTATACAAACCAGCCTCTCTCTCTCGGTTTTAAGGCTATTCTCATAAAACTTTCTCTCTGTTCCAGACAGCACAAATGTCGGCATAGATCGGATCGCCCCGCTATATCACATAGCTGCCACAGAATGATCGTTAACATATTCAGTTCTTGCATGAAGATATTGCGAAGTTGTTGCTAGTTCATGTAGAAAATGATCCTTGTTCCTATTCCTTTAACTTGTTCAGCAATCGGTTCCAATCGTTGAGAATTTAACAATTACTTTCTTATGCTCATTTCATTGCATAAGTGGTTCGCCCACAACAAACTTATAAACTAATTTCATAAATTGTACCTAATAATTAATCAAAATTCAGCAAATTCTAAATTTGACTATACTCCAAACATATTCAACAAACTATAAGCCACGGTCTACAAGGGTATTTAATCTGCGACACATTAAATAGAAGTTCTTTCCATTTTTTTGTTGTCAGTTTTATGATGAAACGCAGGAGAGAGTCGCTCAGCCCGCAGCTCGCTTGAAATTGTGGCCATAAAAGACAACTTTATAGGAAGGGCTAAAACATAAACCCAAATAAAATGCAACATCATGGCGCAAGGCCAATGTTGTGACAGCTAAAACAGACAGCATGGCTGTGCGTGTGCGAGTGTGTGCGTGCGTGTGTGTGTGTGTTAGCCAAGTTAGTGGCAGCTGAAGCGTTTACTGCATTGCGAGCGAAAACTTTTACCAGCTGTTTGCAATTAAACAAGTTTTCACTTATTTTTTCTCTGTTTGTTTTTTGCTCGCACTCGGAACTAACTTGTGCCCAGACAAACAGAGTGTAAAACGCCAAACAGCTAACAAAGTACAGTTGACGCTGCCTGGTCCTGGAGTTACGACTGCAAAAACCCCTTAAAGCAAATATTTGGCCAGAGCTACTTTGGCAAAAGCCTTCTGCCAGCAGCGGAAGCGTGTCGTGCAGCTGAGTGTGGGCGGGGGCGGGGGGGCGGTCGGTCGGGGGCGTTGGGGCATGACGCTGCGTAATGAAAATTTCCAAAAGCAAATTACGTGCGAGTTGAGTTAGTTTTCAATTCAATTAAGTGGCGACAGGTGGCAAGGGCAAGGGGGCAGCCGGCAAGTGGGGGCACGTGGCAAAAGTGCCATTAAAAATGCCATTCAGTATCAAAGCAAATGGCTAATTACGGGCTAATAATGGCTAATTACTAATTAAAAAAAAAAAACTATTAAGACTCTTTGCGCTACATAAAGAGACAAAGCAGCCGAAAACGTAACCCAGCTCAAGGATGGGCCGGGTCAGGATAGGCTAGTCAACTAAAATTGCAAAGTGTCCTGCCGCAAAACAAATTGCGGCCACAAATAGAGAGGGAGGGGGGAGGGGGAGAGAGAGGGAGGAAGGGCCAGCTTTTGCTCGTTAAGCTGCCAGCTTAAAACGCTCGAGGGCTGCCTCAAATCCTGCCTTGTTGCCGCTTTTTGTGGCACACGTCAGCGACTGATTGCCACATTTAAATGTCTAATTTGCAACGCGCTTGTTATTGTCATCTTTTACGAGCGGCAATTAGCTTACAGCTCTGCTTACTGGCATGTTTAACACACACAAACCGTTTTTTCTTCTTTTTTTAAAGCGTTTTACTTATCATTCGAATTGAAAGCGAAAAAAGGTTGTCAAAACACAACGCATACGAAATGTAAAGGCTGCGACAGGTGCCTGCCTACACTCGAATGATATTTATTCAACAAATATAACACTCTTGCCGCAAATGCTGTCAGCCCTAAAAGGCAGAATAAGAGGAAAAAGGTTCGTTCTGATAAGACGACGACACGAATTCCTCGAAATTATTATGCGAGCTTTTTATACCCTGAACCCATTGAAAATGGTTAAAAAGGGTATAATGTATTTGTGCAAATGTATGTAACAGGCAGAAGAAAGCATCTCCGACCCCATAAAGTATATATATATTCTTGATCAGCATCAATAGCCGAGTCGATCTAGCCATGTCCGTCTGTTTGTCCTTCCGTCCGTCTGTCCAACCGTCAGTTTGTCCGTCTGTTCGTATGTATGAACGCAAGGATCTCAGAACCTATAAGAGCTAGAGAAATTTTAACTGTAGGTCCTCCTAGTCCGCGTGCAGATCGAAAAAATCGATATCGAAATCCTGTCTTTTGGGCAATTTCGGTAAATAATATAAGCTAGAGTCAGCAAACTTGACATGTAGCTGCTAGAATAGTATATATATATCAAGTATCTATCATTTTATGCCTATCGCCTGTTGGAAGAAGAGGGTTCAGGGTATCCCCTAGTCGAGAGCTCCCGATAAGTACCTCTTACTTGTATCTTTTTGTGCATATTTAATATTTACTCTTCGCTGGTTTTTGAGCATTTATTTATTTGCACATCTTTTACACGCACGGCACTCAGCTTTGTACAGTCCTTTTTTTTGCAGACCAAAAAAAATAACTCAAAGCTTTCAGCTCTTGTTAACATTGTGTCCTGCAAAATCGTATTAATAATTTGTCAGCCGTTGGCAAGCTCCCTGCCTGGCAATTAAAGCGCGCAATCCAATTAATTTCCCAAAGAGCAGAAAAGTACAAAAATGGCAGAAACGAGAAATCATGCAAAAATAAAACGTACAAAAAAATGGCAACCTGTACAGGTCGAAACCCAATTGAGCCAAAGCGTGTGAAGCGCAAAAAGGCAACAAAAACAAAAAAAAAAAACAAACAGAAATTACAAATAAGAGACAAGTCGAGGCATGCTCGACTTTGCTATGAGCTACAGTCAAGATTATATAAAGTTAAGGGAAATGATAAATATAATTAAATATATAATGTATAATAATATATATTCCATAGGAAATTCAAATGAAATGCCATTATGGAATATATTTTATTATTTATTGTGTATCAATTATATATTAAATTATAGTTATTATTTAATATGTATATTTATATAATATAATATAATATATAATAAACTATATTCCATAATGACACTTCATTTGAATTTTCCCCAGGAAAGTTTAAGTTAATTAAGTTACACAAAGTCCTAACAGACATGTTACCCAACATACTTGGTTGACCCTATATAAAGATATATAAAAATGATTTTTGACAAATTTGTAAACATAATTAACTATCTTTTAACCCTATCTAAACTTAAACTATATCTTTTCGGCAGGCACAAATGAACAACTGAATTTATAGTAAAACAATATGCCTCTTTGAGTTTTGTGTAGTGTGCTTCAGGCTTCTGACCAACACACACACACACACACACACACATCCAATTGCAGAGTATATAGCATATATAGCATATTAAAGTTCGAGAAAAATGTGCAGGCATTGCCTTTAATTTACACACACAGAGAGAGAGAGAGAGAGAAACAGCAGACTGGGCTGTAAGCCAGGTACACGTTTCTAATAAAGGGCAAACATTGTCTAAAGCAAACACAAATACAAACACAAACACACACAAACACACACACACACACACTCTCAGTCAGAAAATGGCAAAGGCAGCCAATAGAAGTGCTTCAGTTGGGAAGCAAACAAACCTTTTCATGCATTGCACGATTTTAATTAATAATATTCATGTTGCTGAGAACCAACTCATTTGCCAGCAAGTGGAGCTGCTCGTTGGAGCGCACAGCACAGCAAACACACACACACACACTCGCACACACACCTGGCTAGAGCATGTCAAAAATGAAACCTGCACAATTTGTTTGCCTAATGAAATTAGGCGCGCGCGCGTGGGCGTGGCAAGGCCCGCAAACAAACCAAAAATAAAAAACTGGACACTGAAAACGTGCCGGTCGCGCGCAGCGGTAAAACGTGTGGAAAAACGTTTAGACGCAAATGTCAATACAATGCGAAGGGCCCAAATGCCGCAGGTGTTGGATAAAGGGGGGAGGACAGGGGGTGGGGGGGGGGGGGGGGGGGGGGGGGGGGGGTTTGGAGCGGCATAAGAGGTGCTGCAATTAACATGCGCTAATCAAAAATGTCCAACCACAATTATGCGCATGGCAAAAATGTCGAGCGCAAAAACTGCGCTTTTTTGTGGGACATTTGGCAGGAGGCTTGTTGACTTGTTAATGTTGTTGTTGTTCCTTTTGTTGTTGTTGCTGTTGCTGTTGTTGCTGTTGTTGTTGTTGTTGTTGTTGTTGCTGTTGCACATGCAGATAAACAAACAAGCCCGCAGAGGCCACAACAACCCCAACCAAACCCAGTCTCAAAACAGCTACGTAAACACAAAACCAGACAGCACGAAAAAAGAAGAAATAAAAAGCGTTTGGGCACGCCGAAAATTTAATGCCCTTCTTGGACATGTGGCTTAGAAATGTCTTTATACAAAATCTTAATCTGCTATCGATTCTTGCTATAGGCGCCATATCATTAAGTTATTCGATTTGAAACGATTTTGCAGTTAGGTTGGGAAAACAGAAAAGTTCGAAATAGCTCAGCTTGCTCAAGTTTTCTACAAAGACAGATAACCACAAAAACAGATAGCTTCGAAAAAAAGATAAGTAAAACTTATTTGTCGACCAATTCATATGGATTTTATAGGATATAATAATCCAAAGTTGATTAGATCTGGCTCATATGTAAGGAGCATGGTAGAATTTTAGTTAAGATATCTTGAAAAATAGAAAAGACTTTCAAACAAGAACTTATCTTTCGACCGATTCTGTCCATACAGATATATGATATAAGTTTATAAAATATTGCTCAAATGTAAGTAGCATGGTACAATCTTCGTTAAGACATCTTGAAAACAAAAAAAAAAAGATTACCAAGCAAGAAATCAATTTTCGATCAATTCTTTCCATATAGTTGTATGATATCATATTCCAAAGTTGATAAAATATTGCTCATATAAGCTGGACAAAAAAGTTTTACAAACAAGAACTTAATACTTAATCAATTATTTCCATAGCTTATATATGATATAGCAGTCCGATTAGGTTGATTTCAACATGAGGTGGAACTGAGCTAAGTATTGTGACTAGTTTATAAAGAAACAAATAGACAGACAGACAGACACACGGACTTGAGTTTAATACCTCGACTATTGATACTGCTCAAGAATACATATACTCTATCTATACACATACCCGTGACATCTCCTTCCGTTGCACATTTGCTGAAAAAGTTAAAGGTCCCTTCTCGAACACATAAAAAGGACTCTCTCTTCCTCTCTCTCTCTCCCTCCCTCTCTTTGACCTTCTGCTGCCACTTCTGCTGTGGCCTTTTGTCTTGCGTTAACTGTTTGCTTTTTCGATCGGCTTGCTGTTAAATTTAATTTGATTTTGTCGAACACCAACAACACAACTTGGCAATTAATAAGTTATTTATTTTTATGCTTTTAACAAAAGTTTTGTTAGCTTCAAATAAAGCGCACATAAATTAACAAGAAAACTTTTCGTTTTGTCAGTTCGTTTGGGGGGGGGGCATATTGTTAAAGAAGGCATTGCCAATTTGCGTTTGTTGTTGGCCTTCGGAGCTGCCATTAGTTGGGCAAACAATCAGCTACTTGCTGTTGGCCTGGCTTTTACATTCATTCTGACCATGGATTCTAGTTTCCCTTTTTTTTTTTTTTTCTGCTACATTTTTGCCTTGTTCTTAATGTTGAGCTTGTTTTGCTCTGGTTTTCTTTCGGACAGCCTTGTTGGGCCTTATGCCAATGCCAACATTTTCAGTGTGAGCCTGTGAAAACAATGCCTACACCAACACTGACACATGCACACACACACTCCCACACACACACTCCCACACACACACTCCCACACACACACACACACACACACGCACACATTTGCTATGCATAGTCATACAAGAGCATATCAAATTACACAAATTTTTTTCTCCCATTGTCCTCAGCAAAACTGAAATTTTCTGCACACTTTTCGTACGCATGTAAAAAAAAGAAAAATGCAGCAGCTCCTAACTTTAAAATTGCTATTAATTCCTTTAGAACATTTCAAAAGCTCTCAAGTAATTTAAGAGCTAACTTTCAAAAGAAGATGTTGTCTTTTAAAAACATACTCAAGCTATTTGCATATGTAATATAGATTCATTTTATATAGATCGCAGTCGTGAATAGCTTTTAAGCGAAAAGACTTTAGCTGAAAATTGCAGACTTAAAAATTCTATATAAAATAAATCAAATAGTATTCACTTCAAGGTATTACAATATATTCTATTTAGCACGAACCGCAGACTCAAACGAATAAGTTTAATAAAGCATATTAGAACCAATTTAAAGGCGAGACGCTGGTTCGAATCGTGAAATTTTCGAGGCTTGACTTTGATTGCTAGCTTTATCTTGATAATAAATCTACATGAATATAATAATTAATATCTTTATTTGGCGCTGGAAGCAAAACTTATTTAATGACTGTGAAGAACTTTTCGATGCTGCTTAAGCACATTTTATATCTTAAAAACATTTATTCTTCCCGTTGTATTTTCTCTTTTTATACATTATGGTTAGCTAAGAACAAAGCGCTTAAGCTCAAGCCTGCACTCAAGTTTGGCACGAATTTATTTAATCGCAATTTTCTTTGCTTGTAACTTTTGACGAGTTCGGCCCCAAGAGCTCTGACTTATGGAAACATAAAATAAAAACTTAAATACTTTTAAGCCACTGAATTATTTAACAATCTAAGCAGAACAAAGGCAACAGTTGACGTTTTTTTAAATTTATTTTTTGACATTTTCTCACAAATTTGGCTCGGGGTTCGTTAATATGGCATACTATATAAGAAACAAGTAGAAGAAAAGGTCAAAGGCGGTAAAAGGAAGAAAGAAAGTTAAATTGCACTTCATTTTTCAACATCAGCTGCTGCGTCTCAACTGGTCGCTGGGAGTGGCAACGATTTTAATCAACTAAAATTGAAATGAAATTTAATAAGGAGAGGCGCCAGTCCACAGTCGACAGTCGACAGGCAGGCCGGAGCCGTACACACAGGACGCGTCAGGCGGCAAAAATTGTGAAATGAGGAAATTCTTTGATGCCCGACGACCAAGAGCAGCAATTTTCCGAGAAGGTTGCGGCCAATGCCACAAATTTTAGCGCCCCCCCCCCCCCCCCTCTTTTCCTCTCCCTCTGACTGTGTGTGTGTGTGTGTGAATTTAATGGATATGAATGTGGAATACGAATACATATGCCGAAATGTCGATTTGCATGTTGATGCAGGAAATGTGGGTCAAACATTACCTTCATTAAATTGTTGAAGTCGTCGAATGCATAAGCCTCAGCTGCGGACACATCGCTGCCCTGGATGTTTTTTTTTGTTGAAAAAAGTCAAAAATCAAATTGTTAGCCATTTAATTGGGTTCGGTTGGGAGGCGTGCAGTCCTTTGGCTATGCAGCGTGCGATTTATGCGCGGACTCGTAAAATAACATGCGCCATCAAAATATGCATTGCATACCGAATAAACAGCGAACAGTAATAAAAAAAGAGGTAATAACAATTTATTTCGCATGCCAAATATATACGTAGATGGAAACACGTGTTTTTGTTGCTCTACACCCTGTACACATAAAACTGGGTAGCATGGGGAGTGTGCTTCAATTTGTGCTGTTGTGTGTAACAGGCAGCAACTATTTACACTCTTATATAGCCTTTATTTCCGAAGTAAAATTTATATATATATATACGATATATGATATATGTCTACGCTAAGGCTCTAACCAGTTGCAGACACCACAAAAATGAATTCTGTTATGTTCGCTTTGCTTTTCATGTTGCTTGGCGCTTGTAATTCTCAACAAGTTGAAGCTTCGAAGGATAACACTTACAGAGTTGATAGCAAGCTCTGCTTAAGCTACATTCGGGCAATTCTTGATCTACACAGACATCCTGCTCTTTTTTGGAAGTTTCTTTCTACTTGTTGGTAATTATTTATACACAAATTAAAAACAACTTTGACACCGAGTCGCTTAGCTTAATAATAGTTGATGTACCTAAAAGATAATATAACATACACAATATGTTACCTTAGATCTATCTATAATCTTGCTTAGACCCCCATCTCCCATTACTATCTTTCTAGCCCATCTATTTAATAACATTTAATTTAACTTATAATGAATATTGTTTTTTATCCCAATTCGTCTATATACATCACACATTTACTTTCTCTATTTAATAACTTTTTCCTTCCTTTTGTTTAGTTGGCTTTTAGGCTTTTAGCTTTGAATTTTTCTATTTTCATGTATTAAATTCTTAGTCAACACCTATTTTGTCGCCCATCAATAAATAATAACCAAATAAATAAACATACGGGGTATCTAGGAGGCAAGAATTCAGATATAACAACATTTGCACTTGTTTTATGTGGAAACGCGGCTCAGCCCAATGGGCTTGTTTCTGCTATTTCCCGCTCCGCAACTTTGGATGGGTATTTTTATTTCGTTTCTTGTTGCCGATATTATTGTTCCGCGTCGCCGTCAGTTACCGAGCTACTGTATACAAATACGGAGCGCTACAGAGTTGGCCCCGAGCGCATTTGTTTTTATTGTTTTGGCACCAGACACACACAAACAAACACACACACGCACACGTTGAATCCATCAGCGAGGCATAAAATCGGCATGGACGTGAAATCGAAACCATTTAAAGCAGCAGCAAAGCCCTCCCCAGAGAAAAGGGCGGAGCAGCTGGGCCGAGGGGACAGCCGCGGGCATGGCATTCGCTTTGGGCCGTGGCAGGCGCACCTTAGCAAACGCTTTTTTTTTTGCTGGCACTCGCACTTGTCCATTTCTTTTTTTTTTTTTATGTGCGGCTTGAGATTTTTATTGCCCAGATAATGGCTAAAAAATCTTTGGCGACAGCTGTTGCATGCTACATAAAATAGACAAATATGCGATATGACATATCTTGACAGAAGTCGGGTGCAATAATTCAGCTGCTCGCTTCGACATTTGTGGCATGTGCAACATGTGTGGCATTGCATAACACACGGCACTCGGACCCAGCTCTGTGTGCTTGCAATTGGATTTGATTTGTGTTCAATTCAGTGCACCAGACACGCCCACAAGCACACAGACAGCCCCTTGACATACATGCACTTAGTCACTGTCAGTGTCAGGAAAAAGACGCTGACTTTGATTCTGACGCAGACGTCGCCGTCGCCCTCGACACTGGCCTGTAAATTGTTTAAAATAGTTTTCTTCCTTGATCAATTGTCAATGGGCCAGGGCCAAGAGTCGGGGATGTGGCCATTCAATTAGGTCAATTTTTAGTTGGCTTTAATGCAGTACACTTGGGCACTCGACGGGCTTCACGTTGCGCATACGACACGTTGTGCAGCTAACAATTTGCATTCCCGCACACTCCTTAAGGCGTTCGCAAATGTCAAAAGCATTCAGCAAATGCGGTCAACCGTGGCGTATACTTAATATTGTGTGCTTCTATATTTAGACGCAGAGGCCAGAGGCTTTTCTACTATGCACATTAAATCTGTTATGCAGACATCAAAGAGACCTATAGAACAGCTGGCTTTGTCGCAGCCTTAACTGCACAAACTAAACTATCGGAGCAAGTTCCTGTTGCTTAGTTATATTGTTGGGAATTATTGATAAAAGGGATACATAAAGTTGAGTTTTGGTGAAATAAAAAATATTTCTTGACCAACTACAAACATTATTACGTTGTTTGCCTATTGCGAGTAGAAAAACCCAGATCTTTAAATTATGTTCGTTTTTGGCCTATCAATTGGCTATTCAGCAATTTTAATTGGCAGTCAATATTTATTTCTTAAACTTGCCAAATCAGGCCTCAAATTAAATGACAAAATTAGGTTTTAATTTTAAAATCACGATTTTTAGGTTCCCATCGTCGAAATTTCCCAATAGGTCGAAATTTCCCTCACCCATAACTCGGCCAAAACTTTGGCTTTTTTTTTCATGGTTTGAGCTCTAGATCAATTTGGCATCTAAATCTGGCAGCATTATTTTTAGTTACAATTTGTGTGAAAAACTCGATTTCATATACTTGAAATACAACACACACTAGAATCCTGTTCCGCTTTGACCCGCATTAGAAAAGAGTTTTTCTATCAAGGTAAACCGATAAATTTACTCGCTAATTCTAATGTAGATAACATATGTATGTAAAACACTAACATTCCTTCAAAATCTCAGCGATATTTAAATAAGAATATGAATAGAAATATAACCTATTACCTTAAATCTAAGAAAAACAATGTTTAAAAGTAAACAAGTGTTCAAACTTCTTACATTGAAGCACATGCTCTCATCTAGCTGAAGGCTCTGGCAGCTATTTAACTCTATGAATCGTTTAAATAAATAAATATTCTCCCACATTATTTTCCAAGAAGTTAAAGCCGGGAAATATGTAAATCATAAAGCTCACAAATCATATTACAGCATAATTTGATCAGCCCGAAGTCAACTCTTTCTTCCTACAGCTAGTCTGACAAATTGTTGGCTTAGATATCGAGTGCCGTAATACTTGGAAATGTGGGCAATATATGCGAAACAGGTGTATTTGCACCTGATGCACGTCTTGGCACAAGCGCTGCGCTCGCATTTGTATGCAGCTGGCACAAGTTGCCGCAGACGACATTGATTTCTGTTATCGCAACTTGTTGGTGGGGGAGGCGGGCGGGCATGGCACCTAACAGGGGGGGACGGAAAGGGTTCTAAGGTCGCCTGCTGAACAATGCGAGTGCCGTTGAGGTTTTTATTTGATATTTAAACAATGCGAATGCCGCCTGACTGCCAAGACACTGGGGCTCGTCGTCGTCATATCCTGGCAAGGCCTGCCTTAAGGTCACACATCCAGGCCACATGCCATGAATATTAAGCGGCGATTAAGCGGGAGCACATGCCAGATGCCACATGCCGCATGCCGCATGCCGCATGCCACATGCTGTTGCATGGCCATCATAACAATGCTGCAGCACTCATCAGTATGTGCAGCAGGCGTCATAAATGCCGCAAGTATGTGTCTCTCTCTCTCAGTGTTGTGTAATTAAAGCTTAAGACGCGCGCGCGCGCGACTTATCGATTTTATTATCATCATCAGAGCTGCAGCGTCCCAAGGGCGCTGCCTTCAGATTTGCCACGCCTAATTAAATTTTTGGATTATATCCATAGCTATATATAGTTTTTCCTTCTTCTTTCGGCCCAATTCCCCAGACAGACAAAGCAACTGATAAATTACGCGCAGCCGGCAAAGGTCGCAGCACACACAATAAATAAGGAGCATGTCATAAGGTTGCAAGTTTTTGGTGCTTTCGAAGGCACACACACACGCACACCCACACACACACACACCCACACACATGTCCCTTCATTAATCATAACAATGTGTATTGCATGTGATTTATTAATTTGCCTGCGAGCAGACTTTGCAGACAATATGGAAACGTATTGAGTTATCACTCAATCAAAACTGTATTAGCTAACCAGCTGCTGTTGCTGTTGTTGTTGTTGTTGTTGTTATGTGGTTTCCAATGTGTCATTGTCTTAATGCCCCGAGCGTGTGTAATTTGCGTGCTTCGATTTTTGTTGTTGTTGTTGCGCCGTCATCGCCATTAAAGGACCCCGAAAACAAATTGATTTCATTCATGATTTAACAGTTTGCTCGATTGGGCGCACACGCAAGCCAATTGCCAAGATTTTCCCCCACAGATTGTTTATTTGCACAGTTTTATGTGCAACGCACACACACACACACGAGCACACACACGCACACACCAGCAAAACTCTAATGAATTTTGTGTCAGGCTAACCGCCAGCCAACCCCCAGCGAGGCTCCGTTTTGTATTCATTTTAACAATCTTAAGGGATTATCGGCGCGTCAATACACACAAACACATATATATTTATGCATATATCAGTTTATATATGAATATATATAAATGTATTCGCATAATGTTACATATGTTCTTGTGAAAATACCGTTGGGGTTTTCATTGGAATTTATTTCGCACAGCATTCATGCATATATGTATGTACATATGCAAATCGAAGCTGTCCGCGTGAGAAGACGTGACTGCACATGTGTAAGTTAAAGCCTGAGCCGCAATTAAAATGTAAATTCATTAAATGCTTTTGATTAACATATATATTATAATTATTCAATAATTGAGTGGAACCTTATGTTCGGTATCAGAAGATATAGTAAGCATATAATATATATTAAATATATGAATTATATATATTAGTTATATATTCTAGATATGAAAAATATATATTATATGTATATTCTATATATTCAATGAATATATTATATAAAATATATATTCTATATACTTAATATATATCATCTTGATCTATCAGGGCAGTAAGCCAAGAAATATGTCAGGGATTCGGTTCACGCTTCGAACCGATTCCCAGTCTTTAAACTCGCTGAGCAGAACTGGTTTTTCCTATGCTGGAACCAAGTTTCTGGCTCTTTTCATACATTATCGAAATTTAAGTAAAAATATTCAATATTTTCCTTAAAATGGCATATTGCACTGAAAATAACGCAAGTCGCACACATTTTCCCATATTCACAAGATGTAGGCTAATTTTGATTTCAGCTCAAAACTGGCATCTACCAGTTATAGTAAGGTAAATGCAATAATTAATTCTCGATGTCGGTTTGCGGTTCGGTTTTTTTTTCGCACGTCCGAGCTCAAACTAATTCGTTATAAAACTGCTTCGCAGCTTTCTTATTTAGAAACTTCTATAAAAGACTTTCTAAATTTCAGTACACCTTAAATATAAACCAAATTCAATCTGATCAGAGTACTATTTGCAATATATGGCCATATATGCCTGCAATATTTACGACTACGTGACTATTTCCCCAACGTGACTTTCGTGCTGCCCGAATTGGCGGCAACTCGCATTTCCCAGTGAAAGCAGCTAAAACCAGACACAAATTGATTGATTGACAATGCATTTTGGTTATTAATATTGCATGTGCATGCTGTGAACAAGATGAATACTAGATGGAGATAAATAAATAAGTACCTTATGTGCGCAGCTATATTATATGTTAAATGCGAGAACTGTGAAAACTGAAGCATATATTTATTTGTTCATGCATAAAGATTGATTTAAATGCATGTTGAAAATGTCCGATAATCTGTTCAAGCGAAAAGCAATTAATTCATTTGGGTAAGGACATGCATTGAAAACTACATTAAGCATACGCCATGTGGCCCAATAAATGCTTGACAAGTGCCAAAAAAGTGTTCAGAAATTGGCTAGATAGATTTGCTCAGTAATTTAGTTAGCTTGCTAAAAGTAATTTGTGGTTAGCTCTTGAGAGAACAACAAATTACGCACTCGTCGGGCAGCTGACTGTGCTTGAAGCGCAGCCATTGTGGCAAGTTAATGAGCGCAATTGCTTGCAATTAAGGTGCAACAATGGCAACAAAAGCGCGCCAAGCACTGAGCACAAATTGAAGCACCGAAAATGCTTCCGGCCTCAAAAATGCATGCAATTTATTGTATGTGTGTGTGTGTGTGTGGGTGGTTGCTATTTAGAACATGTGGCATCCACTCACCTGCCGTTGCAGTATGTAACTGAATTCCGTTGCCGTGTTGCGTCGACTGTCGTTCATTCTGCTGGCCGCCTTCTGAGCGTCTTCTGCAAGTTTTATGGCCGAAAAAAGTTTTGACAGCAACTGCCTTAGTTTTGGTTTTGTATTCAGCTTCTGGTTTAGCTACGCCTTGCTTTGTTTGGTTTGTCTTACGTTCAGTTTAGTTAAGTTAATTCAAGTTGAGTTTTAGTTTTAGGTGGGTTTTCGGCGTCTGGATTTCGCAGTGGCACTTGACTGCATTCGGCTAGCAGGCGAAAATGCTATTTAAAAACTCATTTAACAAAACATCAGTTGCCTGAGAATGTCGTGAAAATACAACAAAAGAAAAGATTCATAAATAAAATGAATTAAAGAAAACGTGTACAACAAATTGGGCACATTAAGCTGAGGAATGTGCATATAAATATTGAGTATACTTTGAAGAGAGCTCAGAGCAAAGTCTAGAGTTTAGGCTCTAAATAAGTGTATTCAGTATTATTGTTAACTTTTTGTATTAATATTTATATTATTAATGTTCAATTACAACTCTTAGAAAATGTGTGTGTCGTGTTCAAATTCAATAAATAAATATATAGGGAAAATATATAAAAATAATCTCAACATTTAAATAAAAATTAAAGCCAACTTTTTTATATGGTAATTATTTAAAATGTTATAAGTAAGCGCTTTAATAATTTCCCATATATTATAAATTAAAATGAATATTAAAATAAAAACTTTGAATAAACTTTAGCTGCAACACTTTCGTTTAATTGTTATTTGCCCAATTCACATAAATTTGGCTGCAACACATTCACTTTCAATTGCCGCACAGTTCAAAGCATTCGCTTGCTTTCAGCTGCTGCACAAGGAGAACAACAATAATAGAACAACATTTACAATAAAAGCAACTTTTATAACAAGTCACTTGAAAAGTGCATTAATATTCATTGAACAACCCTTTTGTAATTGAATTATTTTTTGAAAACATTTTCCCTGTCGCTTGCAGTTTCATTTACTTTTACGGTTTGATTTCGAGCGTTTTCGATTTGGTTGCGAATTGGTTGCTTCGACGCTTTCGTTGAGACTGCTGCAATACAAATATATTGCGAAACTCTCAACAAGGAAAACGTTGGCGTCGTCCTCGTCGTCGTCGTTGTCGTTGTCGTTGTCCTGTCGTCTGCCGATGTTGTCCTCGTCTCGCGTTCTATTTGCCGTTGAAGTTTTGTGCTCAATGCTTCGCAGCTGTTTGCTGCGCATTATGTTGTTGTTGTTGCCATTTGACTTTGAAATCGCCAACAATAATGCACACACATACAGGCACACGCACGCACACACACACACACACACAGACACACACACACACACACACACACACACAGCACTGGCTGCGCGCTCACAATAACAACAAAACAAGCCGGAAACGAAAGCGAAAGTTGCCAGACCGTCAAGTCAAGTGTTAGACAGCGGAAAACTGACAAACAACGCCGAGAAGGCAGCTACCAATTTAGCTGGACATATGCAAATTTTATATAATTTTCCAACACATAAAAAAAGAAGTGTTTTTAACTAAAAACTAACGGTTATGCTAGTGATTGCATAAAGTAGAAGCAGTCTGGCAACGCTCTGCCTTGGCAGTTCATTCATATTTGCAAGACAACAACAGCTACAAAGAGAGCGAGAGAGAGGAGGAGGGGGAGGGGGAGAGAAAGCCGCGCGTGAGAGCAGCTTTGTGCATGTGCTTTGCAAAGTTGCGCAAAGCTTTTGCCAGATGGCGCTGCACCCGGAAAAGGCGGTTACCAAATCAGCTTAAAGGAACTGCATTGTTTTATATCACACTTGACTCGAATTTCTCTATTAAACGCAGCTCAATTAGAAAGAAACACAATTTTTTAGCGCCAGGGCACAACACGATAATCCTGCAACGCCTCATCGAACGTATAGCTAATGTCGATCGTCTCCTGCCGCACCACCTTGGCATCCAGCAGCCGGCGTAAAATCATGGCGGTGCGTCCATCATACTGATTGCCGTACAGCTGCAGTCGCTTAATGCGACACGGCTTCTTCAGGGTCAACAGTATAAGACTAATTGCCTCGGCGCCAATTTGATTGTCATTGAGATACAAATGCTGCAGCATGTTACAGGAGCTTAAGTACATGGCCACCCATTCGCCGCCATGTGTGCCAATTGTATTGCCGCTGATATCGAGCAGCTCCAGGTTGCCGCCCTGCGCAATGCCGCGCATGAGAAACAGGGCGCCGTCGGCGGCTATCAGATTGTGGGCGAGATTGAGTTTGCGCAGCGAACACTTCGGGCTCTGCAGATACTCGGCAATAGCCTCCATATCCTGGGCCACGAATTCACACAGTTGCATCGTCAGCTCTGTCAGTTTGTTCTGCATCAGGAGCGAGCCAACTATCGAGATAATCTTCTCGGTGTCCAGCGTCAATTTGTCGCCCAACAGGCGATTGGCTATAAAGCAACGCATGCTGGCCGACTTGTGCACCCCGTCCGCCACAATGGCAAAGTTATATTGGGTCAAATTGCAGCTGGACACGTCAAGGGTATGCAGCGTATTGCTGGCCAGGAGAAATTCACGCAACATGCTCGCAGTCTTTGGACTAAGGGGTGTGCCTGCATAGTTGGGCTTAGCATTGAGTGGCCTTCACACACACACACACACACACACACTTACCCTCGAGGCTCAGTTGGCGCAGCTTCATCTTCTGCACATTGAGGCGCATCATCACAAAGAACTCAACCGGCAGCCGCATCAGCTTCAGCTCAATCTTTGGCACGTTCTGCAGCGAGCGCACAAAGTCCTGCACCAGACGCGCATCCCAAATACTTACAACCACGCTCGAAATGAAGACGGACTTCAAGCGGCGCTGCTGCAAATAGTTGACAATGGTGCGAAAATCACGTATACAATGATAGCCGCGATTCATGCGCTCCTCAAAGTCGAGCCGGCGAAACTGAAAGTGCTCGTACGGACGCTTATCGTACTCGCGATGCCAACAGTAGAGCAACAGTACGGGAAAGGTGCGACCCTTGATGATCGTTGGCTCCTGGCATTTGGTGGCATCGTGTACGCAGGGTATGTCACACATTTTACAAATTTTATGTATATTATGTATTTATGTTGAACTAGTTTTCAATTAATGGCAAATGGAGCGGAGATTGAGACTGGGTTATATTTGAAATCTGGATATACTTTTAACCCCTTATTCGGGATCTGATCACGGATGAGCGAATCCTAGGCTTATATAATTTTGCTGCTAAGAGCAGGACATAAGCAAAAGCGTGGTTCTTACTTTTCTCTTTTTTTGTCTCTATAATTTATAGAATAGATTGTTGTTGTTTGCGAATGAGAAAGTTGGCAGAAATAAAGGCGAAACCTACTTCTAATGTTGCTGTGGCAACTCTGGCCAACTCCTGATGGCAAAGCTCGACAACGTATATATCTATATTATGAGCATCAATTAGAAATTTATTGCAGGAATAATTAAAAAATAATATATATTATTTAGATTATAGCACACATAACTCACAAAAGCATAAAAAGCCAAAGCTGAGACAACAAAGTCAGTCAAAAAGTCAACTCTTAAATAATATGTTGACAAATTTTTGCAAGCTTTAACACCGAAAATATTTATAAAATCAATTGCAACATATTTACTTATTTGCATGTCAACATGTTTTTGGTGAACTACCAAGAAACCGAACAAGCGCTTCAAAATGTGTCCAACTTTGCCTTAACCGCAGCGCAAAGCAATTAAAATCCGACAGCCGCAAAGTATGCAGCAAAAAGGCAGCTTGGGTCGCAGGCTGACTTGGAACACCCTGTGGCTCAGCTGCAGCCAGACGGACTTCAACTGGAACTTCTCAGTCATTAGCATAGTTAGCAGAACTTTTTGCACATTGCACACATACATTTAAGGCGAAAATTACCATAAACGATATTTCATTCATTTGCCAGACTTGACTCGAGACTAGAAAAGACTGCAGGCACAATGAATTAATTCGCACAACCACGTGGACAATGCCACACTGTAAATACTTCTTTCTGTTTTTTTTGTTTGCATCTATATGTTAACCCATGGTTAAATGCGTGCCGGCACGCGCCGACTGCCCTATAAATAAGCAGCAGCAGCAGCAGCAGAAGACAGCGACCCCGTGTACCTCTCTCTCTCTACAGACTTATTTATTTATAAGATACCAGAAAAAACAAAAAAAAAAAAAAACAAAACAAGAGTCGTGGTAGACCGTCGGAGGGCACAGGAGGTTGGATCGTTATGCACGTAGCTCTTGGGGAATGTCTTGAGTTATTTTTGCACCATTTAAGGCCTGGTTGCATCTTCATTTATTTGATTGCCTTTTACGCGACGAATGCTTAAAAATAACGTGCTAACGTGCGCTTGCGCTACCTACCCACTCCCCAGCCATCTTGAGAGACTTGGCCAGTAAGTAGTTCAGCGACAGCGACTGCAACAGGTGCCCCATTCAATAGACAAAATGGGGCATTCATTGGCTGCCAGCTAATTTAGTTTGAACAGAAATCAGAATTATTTGTTTCACTTTTACTACCGCAGATACTGTCTCTGCAATTATGCATTAACTTATGGCCAACAGACAGACGGACGGACAGACAGACAGACAGACAGACAGGAGACAGGAGACGGGCAGGTGCCGCCATGTTGCTTAGTCATCCAGCCAAAGATGGCTGACAGTGGCAATTAAACAGCGGCGACAATTTGGTGGCCAAATTGAAATTTTAAACACCGAACATGTGACTCCGCGCCAGGCCAAGGCTCGCTTAGAAATCAGATAATTAAAAAAAAGAGGGGGGGAAAAAAAGTATATGTTGAAAATATTGTAAAAAGGCAGACAGCCAGACGCTCATAATTGCTGGCAGTCTCAGTTTACAGCTAGTGCAGCCAGACGACGACAAACAACAGCAACAACTACAGCGAGTTGCATGTGCATATCATTTAAATAACTTTTAGAAATGCAAAGTGTGAAACTGCAGAGACCAAACTATATGCCCATGCCCGGACAGCAGCCAAGGCGTCTGGGCCGACTACCTTATTCACCTGCCACAGGCCACTGGCAGCAGCAGCAGCAGGCAATGGTCCATATTTGGATGCAACTCTTAAGGACAGCAGCAGCGGCAGAGGCAGCCGCAGAGGCAGCCGCAGAGGCAGCATTGGCATCAACATGCACATCGTCTGCGACGGCCTCCAGACAAACGGCAGACATGTGAGATATATGCACTTGTCTCCTCCCTTTGGCTGGCATGCTCCGCGCACAGTCTGTGCTCTCTCTCTCTCTCTCTCTCTCTCACCCTCTCTCTCTCTCTCGCTCGCTCTCTATGTGCGCATTCATTGTCAATTTTGACAATCAACAAGATGCGACTACACACACGCCTGTTTAAATGCCAACATCAACATTACTTACCTCGGCCTCGGCCTCTGTTGCCTCTGTTGGCACTGCCTAAGCGTCTGCTACGACGGGCTGTCTGGCTCGGGGTCTGGTTCTTGGGTCGCTCCTCCACTCGGTCTCTGGTGGCATGAGTACGCGCACTCCGGCTGATTCCGGCTCTGGGCTGATTGGTGCCGGGCAGAAGCCAAACGACGGCACGCGAAAGTCCTAAAAACCGAAAAAACCAAAATGCACGAAAATTAATAACAACCAGAAATGCAAAAAAATATATACAAAAAAAAAAAAAAAAAAACAAATCAAATGTGGCTTGACACTGCAGCGCGTATACCCTGCAAATGCGCCTGGGTATTACATAATCAAAGATAAATATGTTGAATGCTATTCAAATGGAAAATCATCAACGTTTATGATCAAAACTAATATTATAAATTAGCTCAAAAATAAAAGGTTTAGCTTAAGATTTGATCAGAAAAAATTTAATGCACAAATATAATATAATAATTATATATTAATATAAATAAATTAACATATTAAAAAATTAAAATTAAATTCAAGGCCTTACATTTAAATTTCAAATATTTATTTTTTATATTTTATCAATAAAATTATAAGATTAATCAATCGTTAAATTTTTAATTGATATTTTAAAAGCTGTTTTTAATCAAATGTCGATTAAAACTCATTATTTATATTTTATTCCATTTATTAAACTTTAAATAAATAGAAGAGAGAATTTAATAATTTAGGCATAACACGATAATTATAAGCTTTTAAATCTCTCTTAAATAAATTGATGTAGAATGAAACAGTCGCAACATTTAAACATAAATCAATTTTTTTGATTATAAGTTTATACAAATTTTATTTATGTGCCAAGAGGAAGAAAAACCTACTAATATTATGTAAAATAAAATATAGCTTAATCAAAGAACTTTTGAATGATGTGATTATATATAAAAGTTCGACTACAAGCTTTTAAAAGGGTATTTCATTTTAAGAACTCGTCCCATTTCTATGCAAAGATACTATTCCTAACTTCAAGACAACAACTGGGGCTAATAAACCAATTGCCGCACACATGTCCAGTTCTATCTGAAAGTATTAGAGCTCAGAGCTAGGGTATATGAGGAAAAAAAACAGCAACAGCAGCAGCAGCAGCAGCTGAAAGACAGCAGCACGAAGAGGCGACTGCAACGGTAGCCAGCCAGCGGGCATAAAACAACAACAATAACAAATTGGCTCCTGGTCTTTGCATTCCACATGCAATCTGAGACAACAATCACGACAACTGCATTCGGCCACTGCAGCCGGCACCAGCAGTGGTAGTGGCAGCAACAGTAGCTGTGGCAGTGGCAGTGGCAGCAACACGGGCAACACCGGCAACACCCAAGTGCGGGGCGCTGTTCGCTCGAGCAGCAACAACAGCAACCGGCTAACTAACCAACTTATTGACTTGGCTTGCGTCTGCCACTGCCACTGCCACTGCCACTGCTACTGCTACTGCAACTGCTACTGCTGCTGCTGCTGCTGCTTCTGTGTCCGGACCCGAAGTCTGGTCTGGTGTTGTGCTGTCTGGTCGCGCCAGGCGAAAAATCATGTATGTATTTTTAATAGACCTCTGGCGTGCGGCTGCTGCCGCTGCTGCTGATGATGCCTCCAACTTTGCCTTATTATTTTGTGATCTCATGCAATGCCTGTGGTGTAACCCCACCCCTCCACCCAACCACACCCCTTTACAATTATATCAATTATGTGTTATATTGATGCTTAAATTTATTGTGCGATTACTTGGCCAAAATGCATAATAACCAAGTCTCTTACTTGGTTCTTCAATTTTGTACCCGACGTTGCTTAAAGAACTATATATATATATATATATTGGTTAAATTGGTCAGAGATTATCGAGTGCTCAGGTTCAATCACCTATATACCATATGCTGATAAGCAGACTGATCCATTAAGTGCGTGCTAGATACGCGTTATGCTTATATTCATTTTTATTTATAGAAAATGCTTGCGGCGTGGTAATTGTTTCTGATAATTGCGTTTAGCACACAATCTGAAGTTGAAGTGGTTTACTGACCAAATGTTTTTTTATTTTATGGCCAGCTACTGGTCTTGTGAGTTAGTTTGATTAGTTGAGTTTCCATTTTAATAGCCCAGCACAGAAGACCAACGCCCACACACCTGCTACCTGTCGCCAAAGTGGCAAAAAGAAAAACATTTAAGAATGCTTTTCATTTTTCGTCAAGCCGGGACTACTCGACTGGCCGATGCACTATAGCACAAATCGATATTTATCGATGCAAGCTTAGAAATCTTAAGCAAACTTGACCTGCCTTTGGCCTAACTGACCTAAGGCTTGAAAATTTAAAATCTATGAGCATAAACTCAAATATAGACGAACAGCAATCGAGTTTATTTTATAGGGATTAGGCTTGAGTGTTAAATGTTTATCAGGGATCTGTTATAAGATTGATTAGAGTATTTTTACGAGGAGCTGCATATCAAATTTGCTGTCTCCAGATCTGAGTTTGATGAGGATACACACAGAGCGAGAAACAGAGAGATTGAGAGAGAGAGAGAGAGCCGGAGATAATGATAGGCAAATATTGCCAGCTTTCATATCTATGATATCTCATGTCATCATATCAAGAAGTTGTCGGAGTTCAAGTCTCTCTGTAACCTCTCTGTCTGTAGCACACATTCCTACAAGAATTCCCGTTTCGTATACCCTTTTTTCGCACATGTTTCGTACTCGTAGATTGGAAAGAGCTACAACTTAACCAAATGGTGGTTCCCCCTGAAGTGGCGAAACGTGGACAACGCACCTGTTAATGACCAGCTGAAAATTGTTGTCGATTGCTTAAGTTAAATCTTTTTTAACTAGCGTGAGACATGCCGCCTTGTCAAATGCAAAAAAAAAATAAGGAAAGAAAAATAAAAATAAATTGTATTTTCTTTTTATACAACAAAACAAAAATAGCAAATTGAAAGTAGAATATTTAAATATAGTTTTTTTGCTAGCAGACAAGATCAAAGGGAAACTACAATTAACACTAGTCTAACCGGCAATTACAATGTTTTTTTTTATGCTCGTGCCGGAGCTCTGTGCCCCGCCCCGCCCTGCCATGCCCTGCCCTGCCCTGCCCTGTCGGGGGGTTGTTGCGTGTGGTCTTGGTCTAGCCTTGAAATTAATGAACTATCGAATGCTGCCTTTAGCTTTGACTCATTTCGCATTCCAATTGTCGTCTACATAACAGTTTTGACTGCCTCTGATTGACTGTTTATTTTGCAATTTTTTTTTTTATTTTAGCTTTTTTTTCGTCTGTGTGTGTTTTCGTTTATTATTGTCCACGAAGTGGGGCAAATTTTATGCAAATGTGTGAATAAGTCAAATAAATAAACATTATTATATAAACGTCTCGACAAATGTCGCGCGCATTTGTTTTTTTTTTTATTTTATTTTATTTATTCTAAATGCCTTTCTGGGGGTCTGTCGATTGAAAGAGCTCGTTCCGTTTCGTATTTTTACTTTTTTTTTGTTGTTTTTTTGCCTTTTTCCAGCTGAGATTATGATCTGTATCTCTTTGAGCATTTGATGCGATTGCAACTTTGCATAACAGACGACGTCTGGCCGCGCAGCCCAGCCCCAGCCCCACCCGCACCCGCACCCCCAGCGGCATGTAGGTGTTTCATTTCAAGCCTCAACAATGTGTACACTTATAATGCATAACAGCCAGACAGACAGAGAGACAACCAGAGAGACAGACAGTCAGACAGTCAGAGAGTCAGCCAGAGTCGGTGTGAAATCCAGACTTTATAAAGTGCTCCAAATTATACAATCATTTTGAAATTCAATTTGGTCCAGACAGCACAAAAAAACCCAAATACAAAACTTTTTTTTAGAAAACAAAAAAAAAATAGTATAGTATCTAAAAGAATCCGAAACGATGACATGTGATAAGCGTGTTTTCTTCTTTCTTTTTCGTTTTGTTTGGCTGCGCGAGCAGCCGAAAGTAAATAAATAAATAAATCAAGAACGTCCTTGAAGTCGCGCTTGTGATTTCCGTATATGCAAATTGAAAATAATATTATTGAATGGGTTCTGCAGCAGCAGCAGCAGATATTTGGGAAGTGCTTGCAACAAGATATATGTGGTTCATTCTGTTTACATCTGAAACCGATTAATGGGGTAGTAAATGCAATCTATAGATATATGTATGACAAACTGAGGCTGATTGTGTGAATGTGACGATTTGTAGGTTATTGTAAGTAATGATAAAAGGATCTGTTTTTTAAAGAATGTGGCTAAGGAAAGCTGTTTGAGCTTGTTCATCGAAGGTTTTTTGTTCATTTCCGATTAGTTTTATGCATTTTATTATATTTTATTAAAGTTTATGCATGAAGTCTTTTGTCAGATATAAGCAAACATGGGTCTTCTATAATTTATTATAAATATATAGATCATTTATTCACGCTCTCGAATGTTCGAATCAATTATTTTGCATACTTATAATAGTAATAAACAACTGAACTAAGCTTGTCCTCAATTTAACCCAAACACATCCAAATTATCCTTTACAATGTCCACATCGTAACTCAACCCACAATATCATTGGCCATCGTGGGTTAAAGCCGTGCCAGGCACCGCCTGACCCCATACGCATCTTAATAGATTATTTCCGCCGATTTGCTTAGATATATCAAACATGTATGTTCCCATCAAAATGCCTACTAAATGACACGCACTTCTTCAATTCACGCACATTCTCTAGATAACCAAATTTGACCAAATGGTGTATTGTACTCAGCAGGCAATGTCAAGCAAATCAAGAAGACAAATCTTCTATAGATTACACTATAAAGCCATGCGTATAAGCCACTTCAAAGAAGAAAAAAATTTAGCAAGCGAAAAAAAAAATGAGATTATGATAACGAAATTAGCTCAGGCAATTGAAGTATCAAAACAATTTGATTAAAGTATATTAGGTGCGTGTTGAAATCAGTTAAACTCTTATGTAATCAGCTACGCACTTAAATGCACAATGCCAAATGAAATCAAAGTTCAAATGGCAAAAATTAATTTCGGCGAACCCAATTCAGTATAGTTAATCGACCAGATTTACAATTACACTTATCAAACTATCAAAAAAGCATACAAATAATACTTTAAATTATGGCTAATAGTGGGCACTATCAGCCCTGGTCGTAGTATTTATAGCTAACACTATCGAACTCGGCGAGTGAATTGCCAAATCTCAAAAAATGCCGAAGTCCCAATTATCAGAGCAAAGGCATCTCGAGCAGCGTCCAATACGAATATCACTTTCTTTTGCGATAAGAAACGAGCTTACACGCACACACACACACACACACACACACACACACACACACACAGCGAAACACTCACGCACACAGATAAGATAAGCAAACACACGGAAAGGCAACGCGACAGCAGCGCTGACGGCGACAGCGACGCAACAGCAGCAGAGATCCTCTCAACAGCAGCAACAGCAACAACAGCAACAACAACAGCGACGGCAACGTTGATTTTGATTGGTCGACGACGTCGGCAACACAAAATCCGAACTATCAGCCCGAAGCGCTGCAGCATATACACTCGGAAAAATAAATGTGTTTGCGTTTGCAAGCTGAATTTCTTATCACATAGCTAAATGAATCACAAATGTGACTAAACAAAATAGTTTTAGTGCTGTAATTAAATTTTGAACGATTAATAAACGAAATTATATTATAATGTTAATAAGCAATGCTTGGAGCAAAGTTTGATAGAATATAGAAAAAAATTAATATTTAAGTAAATGTACTTATTATGAAATAAAAAAAATTCCAACTCAACTCAATAAATGATATAAATAAATGTTATTATAAAATGTATTATAAATATTTATTGTTTAATAAAGCTGTTACTTTATTATATAAAGCTGCATAAGAGTTCAGATTGAAACGAATTAGTTTTGCACTTTGATTATCTTTAATTGCAAGTCGCATACGTTGGCTTAGCAACAGCGAAATTTCTTGCAGTGCAGCCGCGCAGCGCTTTTACGACCATAACAAAGTAGGTATGCCCCGGCACAACCAAATATTTTCTTATTTAAGACTAAAAAACGACTCGTGCAAATCACTTCATACTTGGTTCTTAGAGTGAACACATCTAGAGGCAACAAATTCAAAAAAGAAAATAAATGCAAATAAAACTAAAATCGGCTAAGATATTCATGCGGCAGTAAATGTAAAATAAAAAAATCACAACTTTGATGTTGGCTTAAGATATGCCATAGCAAAAAAAAAATAGTGTTGATAAACTTTTTACTAAAGAAAAAACAACCAAAAACAATGCTAACAACTATTGTGTTGTAGTTTAAAAAGTGCTGGAAAGTTTTGTGTGAACCAAAAAACTTTGAATTTTTAACTGCAATTTGCGGAGCCCAGGCCCATTGTCAAGAACTTGTCAAGCCAAATCGTAAAGTCAAAAAAAAAAAAAGAAAAAGAAAGAAAACAACAAAAAAAAAACAATGTCAAGTGTTGTGTTGTGCTGTTGTGAGGGCAGCGGCCGGCGTTTGCTATTGCTGCTGTTGCTGTGCCTGCTCCTGATGATGTCCTGCGATGCGGCACGCATCAATCGCTCGGCCTTCATGGACGGCGACGTGCACTCCGAGGTGGTCGATCCCAACAATCGCACTATCTGGAACATGTTCAATCTAACCGTCGAGCAGGTCAATCGCATTACCAACGGCAGCAATCCCAGTGGCAAGGGCGAGACAACACAGGCAACCAAAAATCATTTGCTGGATCACCTGGCCCGGCAGCGGTAAGTACCCGTTGAAAGTCCAGCGTCGAGCCGGCGTGTGCCGGCAAGGGCTGTCAATCATTTCAGCTTGAAACTATTTTTTGTCACCCCACAACTTGAAAGCGGCCAAAAATAGAACTCTATAAAAAACGAGACACACACAAGAAATAAACCAAGCCAAAAAAAAAAAAAAAACATATTAAGAGCATTTCTGAGCTAAACGAACAAAGCAGAAAAAAAAAACAGTTGCGAATTTAGAACAATAAACAAATTGTGAAATGAAAAAAATTGTGGGAATTTTTCAACGAGTGCACGTTGCAATTAAAATGATTTTTCTTGAAATACGTATAAACAGAAATTTAACTATATAGAATTGGGCAATTTGAGCGAAACATTGTTGGCTGTTGTGCTTGAATTGTCCAAAAACAAAATCAATTGAAGCAATTCAAGGCCAAAACCATATGCATTTCACAAATGTGGCCAAGAACCCCCAGACAGTTTATCCCCATACATACATATATATATATATATACCAATACACTTATAGATATAGTATATAGCTTTATGGCTGATCTTGCGCCTCAATTCATATAATATTTAACACGATTTGCCCAAATGCCAAACGGCCAAATTAATAAACAATAAACACATGTGTGAATATTAGGGCTAATAAAATATATTTATTTCCACACGTGTTGCCGCCTCTTATTGATAAGTGTGCTAAAAATATTTTGGAGTCCCTCGCCGACCTACCCCTACTCTGTAGCCCCAAAGTGTTGGCTGCTCTGATAAGCGGCCGATTGATTCCAATCTGGCCCGACTGACGGCTGTCAACACCTGTCCCAACTAAATATCAAACTGTTCTGTCTCCTATGACAACAAAGACCCTGTCAAGAGTGGGGAGGCGGCTGTAAACTCATATCTTTAGCTTAAGCCTAAGCTGCATTTGTATCTGTAGCCGTTTATCATTGTATCTATCAGATACTACTTACAACTGGCGAGCACTGCTGCACAAAGCAGACACACATACACACACACACGGGCACACACAGGCAGAGACGAACTGGCTGCAATTGCAACGAATTCCGTCGCCGGCCTCTGCGTATTTGTGTACGTCCATGTGGCCGGCTGTCTGGCAAATGTCTGGGAACAGTCTGGGCCATGTCTAGCTGGCTCCGTTAATGAACTTTTTGTAGGTCGTTGCTATGCGAGACACATGCGGGCCCATGGGTAGACAAACACACAATATACATAACTATATATATGCATAATAATAATAAAAAGATATTCCTGTTACCCCGTTTAATAAACAAACTGCAACAAAAACAAAAAAAAACAAGAGACAGGCCTAAGAAGCATTTGATTAATGCTCAGATACAAAGCTACAGATTTAACTTGTATAATGTGATTTATCTACACTAGCATAGGGTATTCGAAGTGTGTCAGGAAATTTTTGCGTTTCAGTGACGAACCCATTCGGTATTTATTTTCCTGATCTACATCAACAATCAATCTAAATGGGCATGTCCAACTGTTTCGAAATTATCCAGCCTCCCAGTTCCGAAACTAATTGAGTGTGAGTCGATTTTTTGTTGTTGTTGCCACAGGCAGTGCACATATAAAAGCCAGACGGATCGCATAACTTAAAGTTAAATAAGACTTTTGTAGACTAAAACTCTTTTCTTTTCGAAAATATTTGTAACAGCTGCTGAAGTTGAGCCAGCGACTTTTCGCTTGTTGGTTCGACAAAAAAGAAGCTCACAATTTTTTGTAAGATCTTCAGCCAGTTAATCAGAGATTATATATGCTAGTCCTCTATATATAGGAACAATTGGTAATAACTAATTGCAGATCATATCATATATACTCTATATATATATATCTTCTGCTTTAGGGTATTTCAGCTTCGGCCACCCACAACTAAGTCGTTTTTGTTTTTTCTTGTTTCATCTTGTTTGATTGCTTTGGCTGGCTGCGCAGACACAAAACGCTCGCCAGTTATAATTATGACGTATGAGTAATATCGAGACATGGGCACATGGTCATATGTTTGCCCACACTCAGGCTCAAAGCTGAGACTCAGACTTATAGACTTGGATGCCTCCTTCTCCTTCTCCTACTACTCCTCCGCCTCCTCCTCCTGCCCTCCCTTGCCCGTCAAAGCAAACAGTTGTAGGCGTATGTTTTGTGGCTACTAAGCGACGCGGTCTACGGTCTGCCAGTCACTGTTGCCATTTGTCTGAGTCTCGTCTGACTAGCTGGCTGACTGACTGACTGACTGACTGACGGGCATGCCGGACAACAGACGACCGACGTCGGACGACGGACGGCGACTACGACTACTGTTCGTCGACGCATGATAATGAAGTGCAGCCGGCGAGACACTGTCTAGCCGCGCATTGTATATGCGCACACACAAGCTGAGGCTGAGGCTGCGGCACAGACTGTGGCTGCGGCTGTGGCAGTGGCAGTCAGCCAGACAGATGAGTTGTAGGCAAGACGACGCATGCTGTGGCCAAAGGCACACAGACGGGCACAAAAAACAAAAAAAATAAATAAATAAAATATAAGAAAAAAGAAACAGAAGCTGCAACCAAAGCAACCACACAAGGCCCGGGCAGACAGCGTTAACGGGGGGCAGCGAGGCGCTTGAATTTCAAAAATGATGCACTTGGAATGCACGCAAAGAGCAACAGCTTAAGTAATACTTAAGTTGCCAGCTTGCCAGCTTGCCAGTTTGCCAGCTTGAAATGCCCACCAAATGGAGGCCAGAGATTCACCTGTGCCACGAACTACGCCGCGGCGCATGCTCAATTGGGGGACAGACCAAGAGCGAGAGACAGAGAGAGAGAGAGAGCAAGAGACTTTTGGCCAGCTGCTTGCAGCTGCGTGAGTCACGCCAGTATGCTAAGGCTCCTGGCCTGACTGCGACTGCGACTGCGACAACAGCGGCTGCTTCTAGCCTAGCCAATAAAAAGCCACAACCTCGTACAACAAGGCGTCTAGACAGGCCCCAGACAGACAGCAGAGCGAGCACTGAACATCGAACACTGAACAGCTACAGCCGCAAGTCAACAGCAACAACAACGACAACAACAACAACAACGAGTTTTCAAGTTCATGCCACAGCAGTTAGCAGACAGTCGAAACGTAACTCCTCAGCGGGCCATTTTATCTGGCAGGCATTCCTTGGCCCGATCGCACGTTGTATAAGCCAAAACATAAATATGCGACTCGTATCTACATAAGCATATGTATATCTACATATAACTATATATGCGTACATATATATCTATCTATATATAAGTGCGTTAATAAGCCAAAGGCGTTTATGGTCTCTCTTGCGTCTTGGTCTTAGCTTGGCTACGACTTTGGCTTGGCTTTGGCTTGGTTCACTTTCAGTGCATGTTCCCATAATTATTTTGGCTAGACAAAATGCGCCGTAGGCAACAATCAGCTCAAGACTGGCAACAATATCAACAACAACAACAACAACACCAACTGAACAACAGCTTTAAGCCAAATAAATAAAAAAATTATACTTTAAATACATTTTTCAGTCATATTTATTGACCGCATGACCAACAATTTTTAATCAGTTTTGATTTTTTGCCTGCCCCCGCGAGTAGTTGTTGTTGTTGTTGCTGTTGTTGTTTTTTTTCTGCACAAAATTTTATGCGCAACTTTTGCAAAGCGCGTCTCAATTACCGATCCAGACAGACATCACACACACAGACACACAATTGTCCCATTGTGCGCCTGTATGTGTGCCAGATTAGATCATAGCTACAGTTGGATACGCGCCAACTATTGTTGTCCGTCTCCATCTCTCCCCCTCTCTCTCTCTCTCTCTCTCTTTCTCTCTGTCTGCTGGTCACAAATAATATTCGCCGTCTCGATAGCTTTTTAAGTGACAGCGGCTCTGAACTTCATCTTCCTTCTCTGCTGTCTGTCACTTATTAGATACATATGTGTATCTGCTAGTACAAAAAATAGTATCTCAAAAGTGCCACAGCGTAAGTTTAAGCTAGTCTAGTTGTAGTTCACGAGTAGTTCGTTAATTGAATGTCGCTTTAGATCAAACTTTTAAGTGCTGATGCATGTTAAGAAAGTAAATTAAAACGGCAACTCATAAGAGCAAACTGAGCCAAATTTTAGCTGCAAGCTAACTACTCTAATATTGATATAAATATTTATTTATGATTTTATAAAAATTTTATTACTTTTACAATTTACAAATTTAAAAACTAAATAAATAGGAAATATAAAAACTTCTACAGCTAAAATCCTTACTCAAATTTTAACATGAATGTTAACAGACTTAGCATTAGGTTTACAGAGAACTTCAAGCAGCCTGTATATTTACAACGAGCTACTATAAAATCTTTAAATGCAGACTAAAATTTGGAAATATGTTGAATTCTCTAGAACTTTCGCATTAAAAGTTTTGTAAGATTTTTTCGGATTTCTCTGCCTGTTATAATTCTCCCAGATCCCAAATATATTGTTAGTTCTAGTTTTAAGAATTTGAGATGCGCTGCCGTTGACATATTCAGTTTCTATTGCTTTAGAGCCGAGCGCGTAAAACACACAACCCAATTTCCACAACAAAAATAAACCAAAAGAATTAGCTTATAAAGAACTAGACGTTCACGTTGATCTGTCGCACTGTCCGTCTGTCTGTCTGTCAGTCTGAATAAATTGAATCAATGCGCTATAAAGCAGCGCTAAATGGCACGTTTTCATTTATGTACAGCGCTTCTTGTTGTTGTTGTTGTTGTGCGCCAGTTACGACAACGCTCAAATGTCAATTAAGTGGACTTTACATAAACACTTGAGCCAAATTAGTTAGATAGTCGACGCAGTCATAGATCGAGTCACAAATAGTTGGCATATTTAACAAAACTAGCTGCCTTTTCTGTTTTGCGCAATTGCAGGATTAACGAGATACGCTCACGCATACGGATTGCCGTGTCCAAGCCGGATGGCAATGAAAGCCAGGCTCCGATCGAGCAGAACCGATCGTCGCACGCAAAGGCCGGCTATCCGCTATGCAATGGCGAGACGACACCCCTCAACTGGCAGCAGTCGACCAATGTGACCCTGCAGTTTGCCAGCAGCGTTTTCCAGCAGCATGGCGACAATCTCAACCTGGACAGCGCCATTTTGCGCCTGTACAAGATGAACCCAAAGGCAGCGGCGACAGGCGGCGCGGGGCAAGCAGCAGCAGCGTCAACACCAGCAGCGACTGAGGCAACTCCACCCTGTCGCGAACCCTTCCTCGAGTCGCAGATACGCGTCACCGTGTCCATTGTGCACCAGCAGAAGAAGAAACGTAAGTTAGGTGCGTACCTTCTATACCCATGCCGGACGGATAGCTTTATAAACCTCTTTTTTCTTCTCTCTTCCACAGAGCGCAAGAAGCGCACCTGCAACACAATCATGCTGAGCAGCACCAAGACCGGCTGGGTGGACATCGATGTCAAGTGCGCGCTCACCTACTGGGCACAGCAGGAGCAGCAGCAGCGGCAGCAACAGCAACCGCAGCAGCAGCAGCAGCAACAGCAACTGCAACAAACGCACTCGCATCTGCCCATTGAGGTGGGCCTGCTGATGATTGAGGTGCACGACGATGAGGAGAATCAATTGCTGCCCGGACTCTATTTTCAGCCACCCACTTGCGATCAGGCAGGTAAGCGTGTTGTTAGCCAAGCTTTAACTAAACTGCCAGACATGTGTGGAACGTCAAAGAACAGAGCTCGATATATCCCCAAAAATATTCTCAACTCCAGGCCAGGCCCCCAAAACTGTGTGACATAACAGGCGCAATTTATTTACATTTCGACAAAATAAAGGTCAATCAGATTCAGCAGGCTTTCTGTTTGTTCCCCACCCCCCACTCTCTCTCGCTCTCTTTCTCTCAAACTTCCGAACAGGCAGACAGAAAAAAAAACAACATTTTTTCCGTAGAAATCGAAAGCGCAAACCTCTGCCCAAAAGTTCGTCGTCGCATTTTTGACGAGCTCAGCAAATGGCTAGACTTGGAAAAACTGCGACTGCATTTAATTGCGAAAAATGCAAAATAATGCAATATTTATGTACATATATATATGTGTGTGTATATTGAAATATTGAAATGAATGCAAGCACGTTTTATATGTGCTCGCGTCTGTCTGGTGAATATCGCTCTATATATATATATATATATATCTTTCGGTGTCGATTGGCACTTACGAAATTCGCGATTCGTTTCTGCTCTGCCCAAATTGTAACCAACAATGAATCTTACAAGCGGAAACAATTAGTATTCAATAGTATGCGTGTCGCAAGTTGTTGTTGGTAAGATATGCACACACACACACACACATACGCTCGCTCGCTCGCTAGCTACTAATGCAAATTGCTTATACGCAACGTTGTGCGTGCTGATGTTTTGTTGCTGCCGCTGCTGCTGCTTATGCAGCATCTGCCTTATGTTTAACTATTCATTCTTATTGCTCTAGCTGTTGTTGTTTTTATTATTGTTGTTGTTGTTATTGCCGCGAACTAGCTAAGAGATAGCCGCCACTTGCATGTTTGCTCTATATTCTCGCCTGTTTTTGTTGTTGTTTTTTTTGTTTTGGTTCCTTGTTCAGTTGAATTATGCATGCACATTTTGTGTCTTTTCCTTTATTTTAATCGTTTGTATTTAATGTGTCTTACAGATATTGCAGTCCCATGGTCCGTCTACGGACCAGGAACGACTATGCCTAGTATGGAAAACAACACAGTGTCCAGGTAAGAATTGCAGAAAAAATTGCCTGATCAAATTTTCAGATAAAGTGAGAAACTTCGTTTTTATGAGATAACCTCGCCCCCAGAATAAAGTAGTTTTATGAATTAATCTAACTTCCTGCGCTAAAAAGTAGGCAATACATATCATCAGCAGCCAAATGATTTTTACAGAAAATGTTGCCTACTTTTGGGCTGACATTAAACATTATTGAGTAAAATTAATAAATAAAATTTTTTTGTAACTATTTCGATAAAAAGGAGATTAACAAAGTTATCTGACATAATGAATAAATATTTCGTATAATAATATAATAAAAAGTATATATAATAAATTACTGATAAATTTGCTAGCATTATTTGATATACAATCGAACCTTTTCGCCAACAGATGCCCAAGATTAGACGTTAGATTCTTGGGTAACGGTCTGCTGACGAACAAGAGCTTTGAGAACCGAACCAATGGCAGACTGGAGACCCTAAAGCATCAGGTGCTCCATCAATCGCGCAGTCGGGAGCATTTCAATACCGAATCAACCACATTGAATTCACCCACAATTGACAACAATCTGGAGAATAGCGAGAACGAGAGCGAGGAGAAGGAGCAAATACATCATCATCGTCGGCGTCATCATCATCAAAGTGTTGAATGTGCCGCTGCAATGGACGCTGATGAATCCTATCAGCAATCGGAATCGCAACATCACTCACGGGCGCATCATAACCACCATCACCACCAACAACTACACAACAATCAGAACCACAATCATCAACATCATCATCATCACAAGCATCGTCATGCTGTGCAGAACGAGGAGTAGATAGGTGAAGATCAATGGCTCCTTGTGGCCACACATGGACACAATTATCAATTCCATGGCACATGCATTCACCGATTCATATCCCACATGCTGGTCTTTAATAGTTTATTGTTTTTGTATCTTTAGGGCCAGAGTTGACTTAATTAGTTTTTTAGTTCATGTCATGCATGCTTTTATTAATTTTTTTTTATATAGTCTAACTTTATTTTTAACAACTTGTTTAAGTTAAAAATTTTGACAAATTATTCGAAATTTGTATCTTTTTATACATATATATTTTTTTTTGTGAGAGTATACATATATGTATATACATATATATGTATATGTATATTTGTATATTTATATATGTACACATATTGTTTTATATCTCTCTTATATTAGGAGTCTGTGATTTAGATGTGGTTGAATTTTTTGCTTAAATTATCATAGAATTGTTGGAACCTCAAAACTAATTTCGATACGAATATAAAAAAGTAGATATATATACATATATATATATACTATATATTAAAAATACATATTATTCAAGCAGTTGGCCCTTGCTAGCAAAATATAAACAAATGTTAAAAAAAAAAAAAAAACTGCATTTGAATTTAGAATGCACGAGTATTTGCAAGGACAATGCAATTATATTAGGCTAAACAACCCATGAGTATTTATACGCACACATACAGTTTATATACATACATGCAAGCATAAGCACGCACACACACACACACACACACACACACACACACACACACACACACACTAGGTTAAAAAGTGCCTTCCTTTTAATAGAGCCACAAAACGTGGTGTGTTTAATTATCAAACTTTTCTTAATCTCTCAAAATTCCTGTACATACTTTATTATAATTGGAAGAACCACAAGTTCTGCTCAAAAACTCATGATTGTTTTTTTCTCTAATTACGTATTACTTAATTAAACTTAACACCTTTTATAATATAACCAGAAAAGCAAATCGTAAACAGCTAAGCTTATAAGTACAAATTCTATAACTTGGCATATACAAAACGATAACAATTATATTACCTATAATAAAATCAATTCACAAAAAAAATAAAGAGTACCTAACGTGTTTTATTATCTCTATTTCCGAGCTGTTCTTTTTCATATAATTGTTTGCTCAATACTTTGTTCAAGTGGGACGTTAAGTTGTCTTGAAATCACATCACTTTGATAATCCACACTCGAATCGACTCAATATCTATATATATATAAATAAATTACTATCAATGATTGCGTTGGGCTTATCAAAGTGTCCACCCAACGGCAGATATCCACAATGGAGATTAGCACATCGAGTCGCTTGCTTACAGATATGATTAGCTCAATGACATGTGATTAAATATGATATGCATATAATTTAGCCAAAGAGCTCTCTTAATTGCTCCCTCTCTTTTTATCTCTCTGTAACACTCTCCCATTTCTCTCTGTCTCCAATTTCAACGTTACTTTTGTAGAGTGTGACGCTCTGAAGTTATCTTCTGAAAATATCAACATTTGCACTCAGGTGCCTCAGCTGATAAGCCAACAACAAAAGAGGCTAGAATAATATATTCTAATCAGAATACCCAGCCAGCGCTGCCAACTCATTTATTGACTGACTGTATATTATAACGTTCGCATTATTAAAAGTTTTTGCGGTGGAAAACGAACTGGACTTAAAGCCCGGCATAACTATGCGCCCTAAAATGGTTCAAGAACAAACGAACCTCAACTGAACCATTAAAAAGAAAAATGACTGTTCAAAAAAAATTTTTTCTAATTAAAAATTTTAAGAAATTCGCATTAAATAAATGTAATTGTGTTAATTTTTTTAATTTTAATTATGATGAATTAAAATTCTGTTGAAAATTAAGAGAAAGTATAGAAAAGTGGGCTCAGGAACCGCAGGCGATAAAAATAGCTTTGAACCGTGCACACTGAACGTTTGTTCAGCTTGGAGCAATTATTTACAGGGTATTTTCAAAGCATTGAAACACATTATAGAGGGTATTTTAAAGCCATTTACATGCATTCTGTTATTATTTTAATAAATACTTGCAGGTATTTTTAATCTTTTGTTTTTATTGAACCAATACACCCGTTTGTCGCTTAGGCACAGGCTATTTGGTAGCAAGCGCAACTTTTATAAAGGTTTTTGGTAGTTACAGGTTTTAGTCTTGCCACGACAGTCGATCAGTTAATATGGACTCGCTGCGACATTACCTGAGCTGATGTTTCACCAACTGGCATATCATTAATTTCGTTTAACATATGTGCGTGTTTTTATATACTTGACTATAACTCAAATACCTGGCAGTTAAAACCAGCGAAGGTTGTAAGCAAACGCAGTTGAAAACGTGTTTGCTACGCTATAAATGAGATAACAACAATAATAACAGATATAAAGGTGAATTACCTGCAATTCGTAACGAATTCGTTTAATATTTCATTCATAATAATAAAAAAAAAAAGTTACAGAAAAAAACAAACAATAAATATAACTACCAAGAACTGTAAAGTGACAACACATGTGTCAAGAGACTATCGTGTGCATTTATTATTGAAACAAGTGTTTTTGCAAATCTTTTAATTGGAAAAGTTAAGAACAGTTTTATAATTGGCTGGCAATTTAAGAAAATAAAAATAAAGCTGCTTGTGCCGTGAGAATTTAAATTACGTCAGGGAATTTTGAGATTAGCTTAATGGCCAATTATTATATGAACCCTTCCAATGACTCACATTTTAATCTCGAAGGGTTAACGTTTATGGCTAGGGTAATTCATGGGAAATCTGATTGCGCTATCAAGGCTGAAATCGATTTTAACATTCAATTATATGGCCAATGTCATGTTTTTGTCGCAATTTATGGTAGCATACATCCTGTGCCCATTCTGATTTACGATAACGCCTAAATATTTATAACGGCCCTAACCTCAGGCATATAACTAAACAACACAGGATTACAAGCAACCTTGACCACAACTGACTTTCGAACCACTTAAGAATGGTGCTCCACGTGCTGTTCGGTTTATCGCGACCAGTTATCGGTAATATATGCCCCAGGCATGGGGTAATTTTATTTCGTACATACTTGAACGCATACTAAAGCTTAAAAGCAAATAATCGTAGTTCCTTGTTTGATAAAGATTAGGAGAGAACAACAAGAGAGATCTAGTCGTGCATATTCGACTAAGAGATACCCAGCAATCGTTGCAAACTTTCTTGATAAGTTATTTTGTTTCATTTTTGAGAAGAGTTTTCCAAAAATTGAAAATATATTTACTGCAAGATATTCTACATCTCGAATTTGAGGTCTCTAGCTCTTATCAGCTTCGAGTTATGCCTAAAAAACGAATTTCGATAACGATTTGTATCACGAAAACAAGTTATCGATAACCTAAACCTATGTTCAACATTGCAGTCTCTAACCCTTACAGACCTTAAGATCAACAAGCTCATACAGAAGGACTGACATATAAATACAGCTAGATCGACTCTTCCGTTTTTTACAGACATTTGCTCAAAAACAATTTACTCATTTTCAATGAGGGTTCAGAGTATAATAAGCCAAATATACTTGTATATGTCAAGATAATCTATATCTCGATCGGTCCCCAGCTGTCGATATAGATTTTTATCGATTTCGTGGTAACGAGTTATCGGTTGCTTTAAATAAACCCCATATGTTCGCGCATTAACAGATTCTATATTTAAAATTCCAAGCCTTTATAGACTTTTAGATGAACAGGCTTATACAGACGGACGCACAGCCGGATCGACTCTTCTGAACGTTACAGAAACTTGCACAAAACCAATTTACCCCGTTTACCCATTTTCTTCAATGGGGGTTCAGTGTATAATATATGTCAGTTATGAAGGTTTTAAGTGCAATGGCACGCTCTAAGAACGAATGTTTTATCGTTATCAATGTTAAAATCGCAACCTTTATATAATTTTAGATGGAGAGTAAAACTTCAACAGGTGCCATTAACAATGCTTATGAATTGGATCAGGTATGTATACTACACAATACGTAGAATTCAATTGAATTAACTACTTACCCCATTTTTTTGATTGTAGACTGAAGTAGCTAACCCAAATCGTGAATTACATAAGGTATGTCTGCGCAGCTGTTCCTTTGAATATATTCCATTATATATGTATGTATGTCATTGCTTGCAGACTGATTATCAAGTTGATAATATCCATGATCATGAACCAATGCAGAATGGTGGCGCCACGGAAAGGCAGGGGAACAAAAAATTGATACGTTGGATTAAAATAGGTTTTCAAATACTTTTACAAATCGGTATTGTCGGCTACTTTTCCTATGCCACATATCACTATCACGATCTGAGTACGTATAAAGCCCAAAAATATATATAAATAAATAAATACAATAAAATTAATTTCACGATTTTAGCCAGTTTGTGAATCGAGTTTGAACCTTGACTCAAATATTTGAGTTCAAATTCGGCTTACAGCCTGAATGCCTATATATGTACCCAGCTTAATTTTAACCATATTTTATTCATTTTAACAGATAAATATGACTGCAAATATAATATTAATCTGCCGCTATGTGGCATACGATTCTGCACCGGCTATGGCATGCTCGTACTGCTGCTGGGCTTCATCTATTTGGGTCTATTCTACTATCTGATATTCAAGCCCAAAGTTGGACGATCATTGCATAAGAACTATCTGCATCCAGCGTCCGTTAGATGGCATAAGTTCTCCAGAACGCGGTGAGTGAGGTTGTATGTCCACATACATATATATATATATATATATATTAAAATATATATACAGACAGAAGAATTTAGTGCTTGAATCAAGTAGAACCAGTCATACAGGTGCGTTAATACCGAAAATACTTGAACCCAAGCATGCATTTTTTTATATCTTGTTAATCTGTTTTCAAGTACGAAATCAGCTTTTGTTTGACTCAATGTTAAGCCTAACTCATTTTCACCACGGAATAAGACCGAGTTATGGGGGTGGGAAATTTTGACCTATGTCTATATAGGATATTTGAGCGTACCATTTTCACATGAATTTTGACTAAAAATAATGTTCCCATATTTAGATGCCACATTGATTTAGAGGACAAACCATGAAGAAAAAGGCAAACATCTTGAAAATCGGATGAGATTTGACCGAGTTATGGGGGGTGGGAAATTTTGACCTATGTCTATATAGGATATGTAAGGGCACCATTTTTACATGAATTTTGACTAAAAAACAAATGTTCCCATATTTAGATGCCACATTGATTTAGATGACAACTCACGAAGAAAAAAACAAACCTCGTGAAAATCGGATGAGATTTGACCGAGTTATGGGAGTGGGAAATTTTGACCTATGTCTACATAGGATATTTGAGGGTACCATTTTCACATGAATTTTGTCAAAAAATAATGCTCCCATATTTAGATGCCACATTGATTTAGAGGACAACTCACGAAGAAAAAAACAAACCTCTTGAAAATCCGATGAGATTTGACCGAGTTATGGGAGTGGGAAATTTCGACCTATGTCTACATAGGATATGTAAGGGCACCATTTTTACATGAATTTTGACTAAAAATAGTGTTGCCAGATTTAGATGCCACGTTAATTAAGAGGACAATTCATGAAGAAAAAACCAAACCTCTTGAAAATCCGATGAGATTTGACCGAGTTATGGGGGTGGGAAATTTTGTTCTATGTCTATATAGGATATATGAGGGTACCAATTTTACATGAATTTTGACAAAAAATAATGTTCCCATATTTAGATGCCACATTGATTAAGAGGTCGAACCATAAACAAAAAGCCAAACCTTACGGAAATCGGTTGATTTTTGACCGATTTATGGGATTGGGAAATTTCGACCTTTGTCTACACTATATCTGCTATAATTTACATATTTATCTAATCCTTTCTTTTACAGCGTCGTTTCGACTGCCTGCATCGTGATATTGCTCATACTTCTGGCCATATTTTTGTTCTTCGAGACGAGGGAAAATCCGAAAAAGCTGATCTCCTTGGTGGCGCCATGTTTCTTCGTATTCTGCGGCTATGTGTTCTCCACGAAGCGCAGCGCCATCAAATGGCGTATTGTGGTTACGGGCATTACGTGCCAGTTTCTGTTGGGCATCTTCTGCATACGCTGGGAGGTGGGTCGCCAGATCTTCGAGTGTTTGGGCAACAAGGTGGCGACCTTTTTGGGTTATGGCACGGAAGGTGCACGTTTTGTGTTTGGCGATTTTCTAATTGACAATGACGTCTTTGCCTTTGCCATATTGCCAGTGATCTTCTTTTTCAGCTTCTTTATATCGGTGCTCTACTATTTGGGCACCATGCAGTGGGTGGTGATCAAGCTGGGCTGGATACTGCAGGCGATATTGGGCACAACGGTCTGTGAGAGCGTTACGGCTGCTGCCAACATATTTCTGGGCATGTCCGAGAGTCCGATGCTAATAAGACCCTACATACACAAGCTGACCAAGAGCGAGATACACAGCATTATGGTGTCGGGCTTTGCCACCGTTTCGGGCACCGTGCTGGCCGCATATTTATCCTTTGGCGCATCTCCGGCGCATTTGATCACATCATCTGTGATGGCCGCGCCCGCCACACTGGCCATATCCAAGCTGTATATGCCCGAAACTGAGGTTAGCCAAACCTCCAGCGATACCATAGAGCTCGAGAAATCGTAAGTTCAAAATATACATCCATCGATGCCTTGCATGCTAATTGACTCCTCTTAATTCCAGCGAGGATGCCTCTTTATTGGATGCCGCTTCGAGTGGCGCCTCCAATGCCGTGCCCATTGTGCTGGGCATTATTGCCAATATTGTGGCCTTTGTGGCATTCGTTGCCTTTTTGAACGGCATTGTCAGCTGGCTGGGCTTTCTCATTGGCCACGAGGAGGTGGACTTTGAGTGGATATTCTCCAAGCTCTTCATACCGCTGGCCTGGGCCATGGGCGTGCACAAGGACGACTGCGATAATATTGCCAAAGTGATCGCCACCAAGACCATCATCAACGAGTTTGTGGCCTACGAACGTTTGGGTCTACTGATTGAAAATAATCAAATTCAAGTGAGTACTTTTCGTAACTGGAAACACATTGGGAACAGAGTCCAGGCTAATCAGCATTGGTTTTGTTGCAGGCTCGCAGCGCCGGCATTGCCACCTTCGCCATCTGCGGCTTTGCCAATCCCAGCTCCTTGGGCATACTCATTGGCTCCTTGAGCGCGATGGCACCCAAGAGGCGGTCCACCATCACCTCGGTGGCCTTTCGCGCTTTTATCGTGGGCAGCATTGTCTGCTTCATATCGGCCAGTTTTGCAGGTGAGTGGCATGCCACAATAGCTGCAACTATGGCTACAATCTCTTTTCCTTACAGGCATTTTAATCCAGGAGGAGGAGCAGCAGGTGATTTATACTAAAATCTTCGAAAAACTGGGACAGCGCAACGTGACCAGGTTTAAGTTTAAACTTAGTTAATATATAGACTTACTTAACTAGAATTTGTTACAGTGCTTAGCTAATTGCTGTTATCATATCTGCCTGAATAAGACAGATTTTTTAATTAAAAAACGTTTAGATTAATTAAAAACGGCGAAAGGATTTTATTTACACATGAGGCCGTTTTAGTATAAAACGTGGTTAAAACCAAATCTGAGCCCTGCGTCAGTTAATTCATTTGCACTGCAAACTTAAGTGAAAACCGGCAGAGTCGCGCTTTCGATTAATATCGATAAATATCGAACTAAGCAGTGTTCAAATAAACTATTCACCAAACCCGAAGCCATTCATTCAAACAAAGAGACCTACTCGAGTCAGCAACATGTTCGATCCAACAAGTTCGATGTTGGCGACAAAGCTACTGCCATATGAATTTATGTACTCGTTATGGTTTCCCGGTCTTGTTGTTTCTACTCTTCTACATACTATAGCACCGAATCGCCGATCGGACAAACCTAAAGTAACACTGCGACTTTTGGACGGCAGCATTGTCAGCTTCACTTTAGCCTCTATTTCAGATAGGAATTATGATTTACTCTAATGCCTGAAGCGTTGTCTAGTAAGTCCAGTTCAAGAATCTGAGTTGGATAAGCTGAACGGAAAGTTCGTGGAAGTTTTAAGCTCGGAAAATGAAGATGTGTGTAGGCATTAAACCTATTTTCAAATCATGAAATGTTCTGCTCTGGCAATAAGTGTTTTAAATTGTTAACAATACCACTTAGCTGCAGAAGATCGCTTGCATCTAGTTCAGGGGAGCACTCGGCCAATTGCTGTGCATTCTGCTCAAGCAGTCGAATTAATTCCTTGGGCTCGTGTTGAGCACGTTTGCGCTTTAGGTTGCCCTGGTTGCCCTGGTTGCAATGGTGCGTTTGGTTTCTTGCATAGTTTAATTTAGCGTAGTTAATGTCAAGCTTGTCCGAGTTGGTTATAAATGGAGAGCACTGAAATGGCTGCACTGCGTCTAATAGCGGACGCAGCTCTGTAGCAATTGCATGCTGCTCCGCCAGAGACTTAAGCTGCGCATTGTCGCTGCCTTGGCAGGCATGCAGAAATCTTTGCACGTGCCAGCAGCTATTTGCAACAGATTTCGACAGCGTAACTGTTTGTAATATGCGGAGCTTTGTAGCTGGGCTGGCTTGTAGCGCCAGCTTAAAGTAAACATTAGCCAGGCGTTTGCACGATTCTTTAAGCAGCAGCTCCTTCTTGCTGCCAGACACTTGCAGCAGCCAGTCCACTTGACCCGTTGACAGCAGCTCCATGAGCGCCAACTGTAGAGGCGAATTATCAAGTTAATTGTATTCATTAACCAAAATATGCTTAACTTACAATTTCGTAATACTGCTCAATATCGCTCAGTGGGTCGTTGAGTAAGCGCTGCAAACGCAGCAGCCACAGTCGCTGCTGTTGCTCCGCTCCGGCGCATACACAGTGCAAATAACGATAGTTTCGTATATTAAATGCGGGCGGCTCATTATTGCTCAAACTATGGAAATATTTGAGCATGCGTCTTACATGCACTTCACTTAAATTCTGTGAAAACATGGCATACGAATTATTGCACTTGATCCAATAGTTTGTGGCCTGCGTGAGCGCATTATTACGCCAGCCCGATTGGACCTCTTCTAGACTGCAATACAACTAGAGTAAATACAAATATCTATATGTATATATATGTATAAATGCCTAACCGAAAGCTCAGCATAAGCACATCCGCGCAGACTTGTGACTTTATGATGTCCTCTTGAAATAGTCCAGCGCAAAAGTAATTGTACAATGTGGCGGAGCAGGCCACATGCAAGAGACTACCGAAGGATTCCAATATTCGTTTGTAACGCGCGGCATTGATAAAATTATTACCATCTAAAATTAACCAATAAGTTAATGTCAAAAGAAATGATTTTATAATTTCACTTTTACCTTTGCACAAATACTCAAATACTTTTTGTAGAGTCTGGCAGGTAGGCTGACTAAGTTCTTGATGATCCATGATGCATACAGTTACATAATCCAAGCAGAGCTCATTATAATCATCAGTCGTTTGCTCTGACGCAGACAGGCAAACAATCAGGTGCTAAATATAAACTAATAAATTAGGCAGTCAAATAGTTTAAGCAAATTTAAGAGCTTGCCTTTTGAAAATCTTCGAGCTGATAGAACAACTCATAAATTTGCATGATATATGGTCGCATATATTTAGCTAAAAGCACGGGCATATCTGGGCCCACATCATGGCTGGGTTTACTGAAAGCGATACAAACACAAGTTTATCTAAAGTTTGTCAAGAAAAAGCAGGTTGTTCTCTTACGTTTCACCACCGCTTAGCAGCAGCATTATGGCTTCCAAAACAGTTTTATCCATGTGCGTAACACCGCTTCCCAATAATTTGTGTAACATGATCAAATAAACCTGAGATACTTTTAAATATTCCTCCATCTTGTCCACCGATGTGTCCTGCTAAGAGAGTTTATTGAATTAAACGACATGATTTTTATATTTAAGGACTTTGATCAACCTGTTGATAAACCGCCTCCAATTGATTAAGAACCGTGTCGCAGAGATGCAGCACTGTCTCCTGCAGCCAATCGGGCATGGCTTTAGCTTCATTCCGGCTGGAGTTGAGACAATTGTAGTGTGTGCATATATTCGTCATGGTCTTGCTGGTTTTTACAAAGGCATGCAGGTGTGTAACTTTAACACTTAGAAAATCTGCAATCTCGACCAGCTGGCGCAGCACTGACAGAGCAAGTATTGTTGTTATTCAAATGAATTAATTTAAATTATAAATAAGCACACATACGAGGAGTTATGCGGGCATGAACTTGTCGGGAAGTGGCGGTAACCTCTTGCAGCAGACATAAAACCGACAAATGCAGCTCGATGGCCACCGGTTCATGTTCCTTGAGCGCCTCCACGTTGTTTTCATTGCTGCAGAGAAATTAACAGATACATTTGTTAATTATAATCATGGATTATCTATTGATTCCACACTCACCTCAGCTGCAGACAGCTGTAGACAATGGCAAGCAGAAAAAATGCTGTTGTGTGCACCAAACGTTCGCCAGCTGTCAGCAGCTTGGCCTTTGCCCACTCAGCAAAGCCCAGTGCATCATTCAGCAGTAGGATGAAATCGCTGCAGACAGCCTTGTTCTCTGGCGTCACATCGCCTTTCTGTAAGATAACGAGACAAGTTGAGGCAGTTGCTCGAACTGTGCGCAGCACTTACCAATCGCAGAAACCACTCATATAGGCACTTGAAAACGTCAATACAGCATTCCGCCTCAGTAATATAGGCTCTTAGTAGCTTTCGTAGCCAGAGACTCAATACTTCCACAGTTTTAGCGTTAAGTTCCTCGAGACTTTTGTTGCAAATTTTTATTGCGGTTTGTTTTGAAACGCATGTGGAAACATCTTCGCAATCGAAACATTGCAGCTCAGCAAATGTTATGCTAACTAATTCAAGAGCAGGCTCCATGTTTAGAATTTCAAAAATTCAAATGATGTACATAATAAAATTGTGCTATTTCACAAAAACGCGCGTACGCCGAGTCGACCGCCGAGATATATCGAAAATCAGTCAACAATAATTGACATTCGCAAAATGCGCCAACAGCTGTTAGCTCAAACTGGCTGCGAATGTTAAAAACATATCGACCGACCGCCATCAATTGATCGAGACATTTCGATTGGCTGTTTACGGCCACACCGCCACATCCATTTCTTTTCCTTCGCAACGCAGCTGTAGTCAAGTTCACTTTTCTTGCGCTCCTGAAAATAATTAATATATTAATAAAATGGTAAGTAAATTTGATATATTTTTGAGAACAGATGCGTGCACATTTTTACCATGATGTTTCTATATACCGCCCCAGTCTGAAAAGACGTGTTGATTGGTTTTCAATGCTGATAAAAATGCCACACGTGTTTTATGTTTGAGTAATTTTTAATTTACAAACTTACCAACTAATTAAATGTATTACTTACAGATTTTGAGGTATTGGTGAACATAGTAAAAGCCGCGGCTTGGAAAATGAATTGAAAATGTATTGCACCTGGCTGTGATGCACTGAAAAACCATGCGCACGTGTTGCCTGGATTAGTAAGGTTAGTTTCGATGCATCGAACTATTTTACCGGCAATATTTCTTAATGATGTATAAGAATACCGCCCCAGTCTGAAGTATAATGACGATTGGACATTGTTTCTGAAATCTCTTAAGAAATATGAAGATATTCATTTGCGTTTGCTTGTACTAAAAACTCGAATTTTTTTTTTCCTAAATTCCAGCAGGGAATATCCACGTGTTGGCGCATCTTTGGCCTGTTCACCATGCTTGAGGTGAGTTAAGATCTGGAATGAAATTCAACTTCTAGAAACATACTATGATGAACACCTTATTTAAGCCAAACAGTTATCCCTGTCATAAAAAATACTTGATGATACAAGAAGCTGATACAAAATTGAAGCAAAATATTTTTAGTTTTTATTAAATTCGTGTAACTAATCAAAATCATATATGATTTCAGTTGCGGTTGCAGACCACAGGCGAGTGAGGGGTTATCTATGGAAAGAGGTGAGTTTTTTCCTCTTGAATATATCTTTTATACAGTGGTCGCTCGTGAATTCAAACGTCACAAACCTAATTTTTCGATAATTCGAATTTGTGTAGCCCCTTTTATCATATCTTTATCCGATCGACCCTTATATAAGCGAATAGCTTTTCCTTCCTTCATGATGTTTAATTTACCGCCCCAGTCGGATGTATAATGACGTATTCGGTTTACTCTCTGATAATTCTATAACTTTCATATACTTTTTAAGTGTGACACATGAAGAATAAACTAATTTCTTCCTCTCCATTTCAGCTTGCTCGCTTGAACTTGTCTTAGAATGGATATCTAGCTGTTTCTCAAGGTATGTTAGGTTGAGGTACAACCTCTTTTTTTATCTTAACTGATGATATAACTGTAGACAAGCATATAACTGAATTTATTATGTTGCTATATACATTCGTCTGAATAAATAATGTTATATGCCTTATTACGAATATCTGAAGAGTTTTTCTAATAAATGTTTATTCTCTTGCAGATAAAGCTGGTTCAGCAAGCAGATCTTTAACTATGCCCCAAATTTGTATGGATCCGATGAGGTTAGTTGAGAGCTCTTGTCTATAATTATAATCTGCATTTACCATGATGAACACCTTATTTAAGCCAAACAGTTATCCCTGTCATAAGAATAATTGATGATAAAATAAGCTGATTTAAATCAAGTTCATTATTATATTAAGAAACTACTTTGACACCTATGTTAATTGTAAATTCATTTGTTTGCAGATGTGTGAAATGTCTGTCCTTGCTGCTCTAAGCATAATAAAGCCTGGCATATATTCGAAGGTAATTTCGATAAATTTGAACATCAATATATATCAAGTTTTTTAATGATGTTTTACATACCGCCCCAGTCGGAGTTAATGATGTCGATTGGTTTTACATGCTGATATAAACTTGAATATAATTTTAGGTGATATTTGATGAATATAATTTAATAATATTTCTCTTAAATTTGCAGTGGACTGAACTTGGCATTACTTTAGACTGGCAAAAACAATTCTCTAAATAGGTAAGCTTCATATGACAATTTGTTTTATCCAGTCAAAACTGATGAACAAACCTTGACAAGCATATAACCGAATCTTTTATGTAGACTACACAAGTCTGATCCAAACATAAAATATTTGTAAATATCTTTTTAAAGACATAATACTCAACTATATCTTTCTCTTATTGCAGATAAACTGCGCCAGTCGAATGCGTCCAAAATAATTTAATAATATTGTACAAACCAAAATTGAATAAAAACGCAGTTATCTTTTATTATAACGTGATATAATTTATTTTGCATTTCATATCATAGACATTTAATGTTTTTGTTTGGGTTATTTGTAACGCTACAAATCTTGTCGCATTTGGGTCATGCGTTTTATATATAAGAATAATTTTGTTTGTAAATGTTTTGAATTTAATATGTTTTGGTATTTGTAAATTTATACTCGTATCATATGATATACATGCGCGCATATAAATACATATGTATATATTTATTTGTGTTAATGCGCTTCTGCGTAATACCCTCAATAGACCCTGCACAACAACCGAAAACCAAATCAAAACCATCTTAGCACTAATCATGCGAGGCATTTCGGCCTCCCCACTATATATGCATATAAGTATATATTAGATATATCTCGATATCGACTGTTAGAAGCTGCTTCCGTTTCCGCTCTACGCACATCAATATTATATAGCGCGGTGTGTGTGTGTGTACACACTGAAACGTTTGATTGAAAGCGCGACGATAATATTGTATACAAATCTATATTCTATATAGAGAGAGAGACATACATATGTAGTATTGGTTTAGCGTTATAAAAATTTGTGACTACAAGTGGATAGACAACATTTATAAAGTTTTCTTTCATTGAAATATTCATAATTTTTCATTCATATTTGATTGATGCCTTAACAAACATATAGAACTCTACAACTAATCAATAAGTGCAAAAATATGTGATATATTCCCAAAAATAAAATCCAAATTCAACTCTGTTTAAGTAATGTCTGAAAGCGGTTCAGTCATATCGAGCATTATATTCTCTGCGAAATGGAACTTAAACGAAAAAATAAAGGAGATACTTCCAAAAAAAATAAAATCCAATATTCATTTTTTAACATCAATGACGATTAGAAAATGGATTTTCAATTACGGCTCAAAGAGTTATACGCATACGAATATATAGATATCAATTCCGTGTGGAAGTCTGAATGATATATGAAGTGGAGTATATATATATATATATAAATATACACTATATATATGCATATGTATATATATGTTGCTTATGAACCAAGTCAAGTTGTGTGAACATTTCTTTCAGATCTTTGTTGATGTTTTTTGTGAATTTATTTATAATTTTGTTTTATATAAGTGTAATCGTATAGGTGTTTTTAAAAAACAATAAGGAATCAACAATATTCATAAAATGTATCATTATAGAATATATGATAAATGTAAATCTAAAAACTACATAGTTGTGTATTTCTTTTTTTTTTGTTTTTCTCTTTATCATTATAATTAATGTATACTAAATGTCATATAATTTGAAATAATTCTCGTGTATGAAATAAATAGTTTGCATGAGTGTGTGTGTGTGTGTGTGTGTGGGTGTGTGTGTGTATGGGACGCTGTCTAGTGTCCGATGTGCTTCTTGATCAGCGCCTGCAGCAGACGCACCTTTGCCTTCTTCTCCTTGTACTGCGCATAGGTTTCCGTTTCGAGGGATTTGCGATCCGGCTTTAACATTTTGCGTCCATTTTGCTCCTCGAATATAGACTCATATTCGCGTATGGTCGCCTTCAGCAGCATCTTCTCTTCCCGTACACGCTCCAGCTGCTCCCACAACTGATCCACACTGAGCGCCGCTATATTCTCCGCCTGCGTCTCCGTCGCATTTACCGTTGTTGCTGTCGTCGTCGTCGTTGTCGTTGTGGACTCATCGGAGGAAGCATTCTGTGTTTGGGCATTTGGCGCCATGGAGTCGCTGGGCGAATTGGTGGTCTCGGTGCTATTGTTCGATGAATACTGCACCGGTGTGGATGTTGCCTCGAACACCATAGCCTCGTGCTCCAGTATGGTGGGCAGCTCATGAACGCCAGCACAGCCGCCGAACATGATGTGCCGGGAAACCAGACGCTTCAGCTGCCTGTAGCGATCGTAGAGCGGACGTGCCGCATCCCGTTCCTCCTTGGTAATCGGATGACCGTAGAGGCTCTCGAAAAACAACAGACCATGCTGCACGGCGCTCTTCTCCTGCACCAGCTGGTCGGAGGTCAGCTCATCCAGCTGCTGTGGACGATGGTTTTGCGTGCGTTTCTCGCTGAGATTCTGCAAAAATCGAACGAAAAAATATGTACAGGGTATTAGTCAAGTGCTCGAATACGACGCAGTTGCTGGCACATCAATCAAATTTTAAGTCAAAATTGAATTTTTTCGTTTGCAATTAACGAAATGTCATGTGTGTGTGTGTGTGTGTGTGTGTGTGTGTGTGTGTAAGGCCCATATAATGCCCAAAAACTGATAAAAATAAAGACCGAAAAGTGTCTGACAAAATTTTTGGGGTAAACAAGTCAATTAATCAGCGACATGCATTAGGCATTATTCGATTTGGTCTGCGGAAAATTCATTCAATTCGGCCAAATGGAAAACGAAAATAGAAAAGCGCAAAGGAAAAAAGAAAAACAAGTGTGCATAATACTTAATGTGGCACTGTCACAAGTGCATCCTTATAAATGCACACCATATTATTTGCCCCAACCAATTTATTTATTTTCTTGTTATTTTTTTCCCCATTTCCCCTCTAGTTTTTTTCCTGCTTCCTCTTCTACTTGCACTTGTCGGTTCTTTGGCAGCCTTTCAAGTTTATTTGTTTTGTAGTGCCTACCGAGAGACTGACTAAATATATAGATAGATAGTCGGGCGGGAGGCCTGTCCGCAAACAAAATACGTAGCATATTGTACTTATATAAACACACATGTTCCTCATGCGCCAAAGTCAAAACAAATCGTTAACGAAAATAAATATATATAAATATACATATATATATATGCAAATATTTTTATATAAGCTCATTGTGAAAAGCCTTTAGAAATTTGACTGCAAGCTCGTTTATCATTTGGGCATTAATTAATTAATGACATTGCTCCGCGGAGCTTTAGATTAAAATTGGGGCATGGAATTTGCCGCCACGTGCCTTCAACTTAGAAAGAAACTCTTTTTTAAGCCTTTTACCTAAACCAAACGATAACTGAAAAGAAAACTGCCTTGAACCAAACAGCTTGTAAATAAACTTTTAATATGGAATTTTTTTGTTATAAAATTCCATTTCCATGTTATATTTTATGGGATTAATGTAGTTTTTAGTCGATATAATAATCTATTATGACCTTGGGTGCGCATATATCACATTTATCAGCTCTACTAACTTCTTTATACTGAAATTTATTTAGAGAATCTTTGATTTGTATATCACATATCAGATGTTGGCTTAGCTAGTTATCTAATTTCTGATTATATCCCACACCTATTATATATAACAAAAAAAATATCTTTAGAGCTTGTTTTGGGAACCTTTTACTTCCCTAGTATTTTAACTTGACAAATTATAGTATACTTCTGTAAAATTAGCCGTGTAGTCTGTAAATTACGCACAGATCAAGTTAAGCTACCTTTCGAATACCCTACACCAGGTTTATTGCGTTTAAATATACCCTATTTCTATACCCTATTCTATTTCTATTTCCCAATTCTATACTCTATACAAGTTATATTTCTTCTCTTTTATCCCAGTTTTTTCCCTTTCATATACCCTATACTAATCCTACCTTTATACCCTATGCCAGTTTTTTCCCCTTTCCTATACCTTATAGTAGTTATATTCCTTCACTTTAATCCGACTTCTTTTCCCTCGTCTACACCCTATAGTATTTCTATACCCCATTCCTATTCTCTCTATAGGATATTACTAGATATATTTCCTCTCTTTTATCCAAGTTCTATTTTCTGTCGTATACCCTATACTATTTATATGCCCTGTCTTGTGGCCTATGCCATAGAATATCCTAATTTACCCCTTCCTATACACTTTACTATTTCTATTAACTCTCTTATACCCTATACCACTGCACTCGTTTTTTCCCCTTTCTTATACCCTGTAATATTTATATTCCCCCTCTTATTCCGTATACTAGTTCTGTTCCCTATCCTATATCCTATACTATATTCCTTCACGCATACCATATATCACAACACTAATTGATTTTCCCTTTCCTATACCCTATACTATTTCGTTTTCCTCACTTATATCCCAGTTTTTTTCTCTTTCCTTTACCGTATACTAGTTCTGTTCCCCTTTTCATATCCAATACCATTACACTAGTTTTTCCTCTACCCTCCCTAAGTGAGTTCCTTTCCCTCTCGTATACCCTATATCAGTTTCCTCTTGCGATCACATGATAATATTTCCTCTTTGGCACTTGAATAGAATTTGCTGTCACATTATTAGTCGAATTTTCGTTTCAAACTTGCGTTCGAAAAAGACAGCAAATGAAATGTTTTGCCAAACTTGACAGGCACCATAAAATCGCTGACGTCATCCGCCGGGCCGTGTTTATTTCTAGTCGCACCAAAAGTTGACCATACAATTTGTCTGATGAGCTGTTGTTTTGGTATTTGCCCAGCCCCTGCCCACCTGCAGCTGCTGCTTACCTGCTCGATTTCGCTGAGCGTGTTCTTCATGCGCTCCAGTTTCTTGGCTGCCTCCTGGCCGCTGGCTGCGATGCCGCTGCCGACGCCGCAGCCGCCGGCGCCAACCTTGAGGCCGAGGGCTGCAATGGGATCAGTCTTAAGCTCGTGACGCTCCTTGCGCAGCTTGCTGAGCTCGGCGAGCGCGTTCTTCATGTACTTGTCGTTCAGACGCTCCGCCTGCGAGGGCCGATAGCCGAGCCGCTGCTCCAGCGAATCCTCCAGCTGGACGAGTTTCTTTTTGAGCGCGGTCACGCGTCGATTGATGGCCTTGACGCGCTCCTCGGGCGTCTGGAAGGCCATCATGGCGGGCACCACCTGCTGCATGACATCGCGTGTGCGCATATTCTCCAGCGAGCTAAACGCACGCACTGCATCCATCGGCTCCAGACAGTCCATGTCCTCGCCGAGCAGCTGCACGCTGGCCGCCTGTTTGGGCTGCTGTTGCGGATACGGCATCACCTTCGCCAGCTTGGCATCCGCATCAATGTTGCCCGCATGATGTCGCGAATGGGCATAGCGGCGACTCAGC